AGGTGACAGAGTTAAACAGTTCATCTACAGTAGAACACGATGCATTCTCAAAGTTTATCATTCCCATAAATAGATCACTCGTATTTTCATTAATGCGCCTTCTTCGAACAGTTGCAGAATCCACTGGTGGTTTGTTGTGAAGTGATGCTGATGAGCACAGGTGTGTGACTGAAGCTGCGGCTAATGGTGATAAGCTCAAGTACATGTGTGGCAGAGGGAGGACTCAGTGGTGCAGGACACAATGTCTCTGATTTTCTGTTTTAGCTGCTGACGTGTTTTACCGAGGCTTGCAAAAGTATGAAACAACTTTTTCACATTTACACACAGTATATTTTGGATTTGTTGAACTCAAACTCGAGAGTTGAACTATCAAATCAAATTTTGAGCAAATCAGACTTTGCATGTGCAAACATCGGTCATTTACTTTGAATAATAGCCCCCTACTAATGCATTTTTTTAGTCTTACACCAAAGACATCAAAATAATTCATTTGTTGCCAGAAAAAACTGGCAACAGATTTTCGGCCAAATCTGTGAAACGGCCGAGGCTGGTTTGATGTTTGTGCGAGGTGTACATTTCCCATAGACACAGCATGGGGAGGGTTTGTCATCGCCACGGCAACAGGGTAAAAAATAAGCCTTGGGCCCTATGGGCTTTATGCACGCTCCACTTCCGTGTTTTAGCTACTACCCCACTTCACTTCCTGTTTGCGGGAAATGGCCTGAGTTTCACTGGAGTTCAGCAGTGGTTTACATGAGTTTCCCAAATAATGCTCAAACGGGAATTAAACTTTGAGGATACTGGCCATTTTTGGGACACAGCAGTGGTCTTTGATTGTGCTGTCATTGTGTTTTTATAAAGTTTACAAATTGCTCTGAGTGGCCACAGTCAAAGCTCTACCTCAGAGAGAAAGAACAGCGACACTTTTGGGTCAGTCTCATAGCTGAATGTATCAATCTAATTACTAAAAAACGTCACTAAAACCCACCTAAAAGCCATAGGATAGCATAGGCAGGAAGTGAACGGGCTGTATTTTGTTTACAGGAAACGACGTCACGCCTCCCCGTGCATATAGCCCATTGACTTTTTGAATCAAGAGGGCAAAACAGATGTATGTGCAAAATTTCAAACATTTTGAAAAAACGAAATGTAAAAATTCCCATATAAAACTTTGAAGTAGTCTGTCTGCTAATGTGTTAATTTGAATCATTTCACTTTCAAATATCCTAGACCCTAGAGTTAAACAATGTTTTAAAGTTTTGTGCAAATCAGACTTTGTATGTGCAAACGGGAGCAAATTTAATGTTGTAAAAAACGGCCAAAAAAAGGTCATATTTTGCCGATCCGCTGCTCAAACAAAGTTTCACTGATCAAAAATCCCTTAAGTCATTTTGAAGGTACATGTGTTGAGATGATGTGGAGTGATTTTGAGACGAATCGGTGAAACGGCCGAGGAGGAGAAGATTTCCAACCGACATGTATGAAAACTATTGCTGTTCATTTTTCCATTTTGCAGTGAAATTTATGGGCTTCCTGTTTGTCAGAGGGCGGGGCCATAATATATATTTTTCATGTCTTGACTAGAGGAACATGTGTACCGAATTTCATGGCTCTACCACAAACTTGACCTCAGAAAACTCCCATAGGGGTATTATTTTGGCTGTTGTAGGTGGCGCTGTTCTGGAAAAAAAAATTCGACGTCTCGAGCAAAAACAATATAGGTTTCAATGGCACCTGATACATCATTTTAAAGCGTTTGAGTTGAGTTCACGTTGGGGTGAGTGACGGGCGCTGACGCGTCCATCCCGCACCGCCACCACTTGCATTCACCATTGTGAAAGCAATAGGCCCTTACCCCGTTCGGGGCTCGGGCCTAATAATAATAATAATAATTATAATGATTATGATTATGACCATTATTATTATTATAGTTTTTTATTAATAGCATAAAAAAAATGTATTAGTTCTTTTGGTAATTATATAACTCTACATACAACTTTGAGTTTGTGTTCTCTCTCTTCTATCTTTGAAAAACATCAAATGGTACTCATTCATCAAATGGTGATCCTGAAGGCCTCGCGGGCCTTCAGGATGGGTCAAATGCGGGAAAGCAGTGGTCCCCACAGGGCCGCGCCCAGGAGCCCATCATCAGATGTTGATGCTCCTTTCAGGTCAGGAGCTGTAGTTTAGCTATTGTATGTTTGTAGTGGGTCAAACCAGAGCACCGGAAAGAAACAAATGAAACCCAGGACCTTCATGCTGAGAAGTGAGAGTGCTATAGATAACAAATAGTTAGATAATAAAAATGAATCAATCATGACAATCCCTTTAACGGTTTCCTCAACCATTTGGTAGATCACCTTTTGAGTCAATATATCTACTTTAAGCTTGGAACTGAAGTATACCTCTTTTGGAAATCTCACTTGGTTTTAGGCACTGTTGCCATCAAACTGCATCTAAACCATTTGGTAAAGGTCTATAATAAAAATAGGGGTTCAAACAAATGGTGTGGCTCTTAGAAAATCCAAAAAATACATTGCTTTCTTGATCTACTTTCTTGGGTGAATGTTTAAAGGATGAAGATGACTGGACATTATCATCTATGTTGGCAGTGACAGTGTTATTGTGTGTCTGACTGTGAACAATGGGGGTGATTTAAAGCTGGGCTACCAAACTTTTTTTATAAATAGGTAACATGTTGAGAACAATTCAGAACACAACATTTTCTCTTCATGTTATTAGATCACTTTGACCTGATTGGCTGAACAACCCTCATTCACTCCTCTCTGTTTCAATTATCCATCCGAAAAAGCTGATCTAAAGATATGACAAAGTCCATAAATACACTAGACATTTAATTATGATTTTATGACATAGTTCATTTTTTTTTCAGTATAAAGCAGTCCAAAATACCCTTATTGAAAATGAATAGGGAGTTTCTGAACAAAAGCTGAATTTCAAACTACTCTTTGCCCATTTTGCATAATTATTATCAACCCTTACAAAGCTAGACATGCCCAAAACACCACTTTCACTGCACGCTACACTACACAGAGTACCTATTTAGTGGCGTGCCTCTCCAATGACAGAAAACAGCTCTAAATAAAGGCTATAGAGACCAACGGCAATTTAGAAGCGCATATAATTTGCAGTCGCCCTGTGGTTTCTGTCTCCATCTTTCTCTCCATACTCCCTCTCAGACCGGAGTATTTTCCAAGCCTTTTATTTTTTTTTTTAATTTTTTCATTCACAGCTAGAATGAGAACTATGTCCTTTCTGACCAACTCTGGTATTAACATCAATTTGAACATTCCTGAGAAAAAAAACACACACGCACACACACACACACACACGCACACACACACACATGCACAAAACACACATACTGTAGCGAAAATCTCCCCTTACAAATGGAAACCGTCTGGGTGGGTTTGGGGTTCTTATCTGTCCAAAAGCGAGAGTCCAAATAAGGATACGGGTGAAATATTGCCAGGAAAGCAGTTTTGTTGATCTGCCACATTGTTTCTCAAACTGTGGCATGGGTACCAATGTGGAGTATGCAATGAAAACACTAAAAGATCTCAATGTTATACTGATTTAGCTTCTTTATCGTTTGATCGTTTTACTTCTAGCAGGTTAAAACTGGGATAACTTTTTTGTGTTTTAACTACTACCTTGTGTTTGTCAAAACAGAAAGAGTCTAATAAGTAAAATATTGTGAGTAAATTGAACCAAAACCTGTTGCTTTCATATTATTAGAAAACGTTTGTCTGGTCTAAAGGTGTGGTCAAAAATACATGAATGTGAAAGCCAAACCGTTTTAGAGCCAGTAACTATTTTATTGTATTGTATTACATACAAAGTTAGGTACCTCAGCTTTAAGTAAGTTAACCCACGGTCAATAATGATGTGCAATGAAACATTATTGGATGATGAGATTTCTGCCAACTCACATTAAAGAATAAATATTATGTATTTTTAATTTTATTTTTTTCAATTTGAAAATCACCAGGTGCAAACACAGTCATGCAATGGTAAACTGAGAAAAAAAAAACGACCTTGGGTTGCTTCTTCCAAATTCTTTTTCAAACGGTGTATTTTGTACCTTATTTATTCTTTCTATTTTGTATCTTTTTATCTATTGATTTTGCATTTACGTTTCTTCTTAACTAGTTTAAGGGCAATACTTTTGTTTTAAAAGGCTCTGCTCTGACTCTGATGTCGCAGTGGTACAATGACATGAGCTCTTAGAGAGAAGTTCTTGATATTAGAGAACAAATAAAATAATTTAAAACAACTTCTTCTGGTCTGTGATTGACGAGGGAACAATTTTGCATTATTGTTAAAAGTACATTTCCATAATATCACTCCTTCAAAACTCTCCTTTAAAACAAGACTGATCCAATTCAACATAGAGCACACCAAGCAATGAAACAGCTACTGGTCAAACAAAACAAAGAAAAAATGCATAGCTCTCTGGATCAAACTGTTTCCTTGTATTTTGGGATCACATATTCACTCGTATGTGTCTAAATAAAAAATTCTAGTCTTGTCCTTTTTCTGAAGTAAGACTTTTCCCATATTTAGTGATGTATTTCTCACTTAATGCATCTCAATCTCCAAAATGTTTTCTTCCATGTGTTTTTCTACCTCCTGGATGGATACAGTCATCGTAGAGCCAAGTAGTTTCTGAGGTGAAAATGTTTGCAAATCACAAATTAGCTTTACTTTCAAATGTGGAAAGAGGGGGTGGGGGTGGGGAGGGGGGTCATAAAGTGGTGTACAGAATTTGGGGAGTGGCAAAAGGGCAGAAGCAGAGAATGGGCAGTCTCTATTTATCTCAAGTTCAAACCACACAGAGCCAGTGGCGCCTTGCTTTTGCATCCTTGGATCCTCATCATCTCCTGCCGTCTGGACCAGAAAGTCTGACGCTGCTATAATAAAAAAAGAAACCTAACATTTTTTACGCAGAGAAAAAGCCAGAGAAACTATCCAGCACCATGGAAGCCATCAAGAAGAAGATGCAAATGCTGAAACTGGACAAGGAGAATGCCATAGACCGGGCCGAGCAGGCAGAGACCGATCAGAAAGCAGCGGAGGATAAGTGCAAACAGGTGAGTCCCGTCTGCAGGAAGTTAATAATAAAACAAAGAGCTGTTATGTGCACGGCTCAATGTAGTGCAGAAAGAATGTGGTTTTTTGAAAGTGTAATGGAGCAGGTAGCAGTGGGAATATTTGGACGGCTTTAAATTAGAAGCACCTGCCGTATATTGGAGCTATAGACAAAATAAGATGAGATTGTGTTGAGAAAAGTTGCTGGCTGTAGACTGTGAAGATGAACGGGGTACAACAAAGGGATTGATCGAGTTACTGCACTGGATTTGAATAAAATGAAACGTATAAAGTTGGGATGCCTCAGTCCTAAACCACCAAAAATGAAACAGTGTAATTAAAACAATCTAATTAGTATCTCGCTCTCAGAACAGAACATCTTTAGAGGAGCTTTTTACGACACAAAAGTGAAAAGAACCACCCTCACTCAGCCCAAAGAATCAAATAGTGACTCAGAGGACTCTATTTTACGTGTACAAAAGATTACATGTTTTCTAATTGTATAAATACAGTCTATTGTGGTCGGATTCGTTCCCAAACAGTTTAGAGACTTGTAAAGGTTAGGTATACCCCTTTTTTTTGTTAAATAACAGAAAATGTCATCTGTAATCACAAATATAATGGAAAATGCTAGAATAAAAGAATATGCTCTTGTTTATTGCTTTGAAAATGGTATAAAAAGATGCGTTGTGAGAGGGATACTAAATATGCACTGCCAATCTAATATCACAGATTACAGTTAAAACATTGCATTTTCTTGGTGACAAAAAAAATGGCCGAAACATTAAAAAGCTCTCTTTAAACTCAACATTTTATGAATAGTTTCTTGTCATGTTTATCAGCTCTGTCCCCAAACCCAGCCCACACGCCTGCTTCTCTCTAAAAGACTATTGGATCCACTCAGAAGTTTGTACAAGGAGCTGAAGGCGTCAACTATTTCCCATAGAAGGTAAAGTCTGCAGTGAACAGCTGATGCAGTCCCAGTGGCTGAGGAAGAAACATGAAGTACTGATACTACACTAGGGAGTACTGGGGATTACTGTGGGACACCTGCTGATGAGGCGACTATTGTAAATACTTCTTCTGTGTACCCTGGATGACTATATTTAGGGAAACTCAAGAGGTAATGAACAGGAACTGCACCAGGAAGACCATATTAGGGCAACCATGATCATTTGTATTGACCTAAACAGAACAATATTACTCTTTGGTTCAATGTGTTTCATGCAGAGAATAATGGAAATTGTAGATACTAGGTTAAAACGTGGGGGCATCTGGTGCAAAAAAAACATCACTGCCAAATCAGTGCACTTTAGACAAGTGGTTCTCAATAGGTGGGTCAGGACTTAAAAGTGGGTCGTGGGATCATTTTGAGTGGATTGTGAGCAAATCCAGGGCGATACTTTAAACATCTGTATCTGCACTTCAAAAAAAGTAGTAATATGTTCTTGAGGGATTAAATTAAGGATGTAAAGTGAGGAAATATGTCCATAATGCAAGAATTTTTATTAACATTAAAATACATCCATATTCACTGAAAATGTTATCAGAATCAGAATCAGAATCAGAATCATTTTTATTGCCAACGTAAGTAACGGGAGGTCACAGACTTGGAAATTGCTTTGGCTCAGTGCAACAGTCAAAAAGAGATAATAAAAATAAGAATAAAAAACACTTCTAAAGAATAAATTTAAATTTAAAATAGAGTTACAGTTACTATTTACAATATACAAGTGCACATGGTGCACACAATGTAAGGTGACAGCAGTACAGTGAAACTTAAAAAAACTTAAAGTACTAAAGTCGATTACAAACTCACTTTTGTTGTCAGAATGGTCCTGCCTGTAAAACATGTAGCTCCCGAGCACTGACAACTGATGCAACCCACCTGCTGGAGTTGAACTAGAGTTGATACAAACAGCATTTTACATACAACACTTTTTTGTATCTGCTTCCATTTGAACAAGTGTGTGGTTTGGTTTGTGATTTTTTTTTTTTAAATTGGTCAATAAAAAGATGAAGCCAAAACCAGTTAAATGTCACCTAACAAACTGTTAACAAATGAGTAATTTATTCTGTTCTCTGTTGGGATAATCTGCTGGACTATCATCAACATAGATATTATGTAGTTCAGATTCAGAATAACTCCACTTCAAACTTTTGTTCAGAAAAGGTCAACAATGATTTGTACAAGTGCAGATGCAGATGTAATGTCAAAGAAAATATTACATACTGTCCCTTCAAATACAGTGCGAAACTTTCCCCACTGGTACATTTCTGGTGCTGCCTGCATGTGAAAGCCAGGCTCCATCAGACCACTGAAGATAAGTAGGGCAGGGCCTGGTTAGTACTGTGATGGGAGACACTCATTGGGAACACCAGGTGCCACAGTGGGGCGGCTGTGGCTGTAAAGTACCAAACTGGCGCTGGGTCTTTAGGCAAGACACTTCACCCACATTGACTAGAATGCGTCTGGTGTGTGAATGACCGGTGGTGGTCAGCGAGGACGATGGCACATACTGGTTGCCTCGCTTCTAAGTAACTGTAATTTTCCCACTGTGCAACTGATAAAGGCAATCATTAACTAATAAGTAAGGAATTTTAATGTTTTTGAAAAAAGTTATCACTTATGTCACAGATAATCAAGGAAGGACCCAAAAGTAGAACTACAAAATAATATAATTGAATAAATGACACAAGAAAATAAATCCAAAAGAAATAACCAGGGACAAGACATCGCTAAAAACAAAAATGGGCCGACAACCAGATAAATTAACATAAAGTCCATACCATGACAATTTACTTATTCCAACATGTTTTTATCTATTTTCCTTGATTCCTGAGTTCAAATTTGGGTCACATCTCGGGGTCATATGCTGATGACGGGTCTCGATGTTTAGCAATGACCTAAAGCATGCATAGCTTTAGCTCCATCATACCGATCTGTTGCAAATATAGACTTCACTTCACAAGAAAAACTGACAAATCCTCACTGATACATAGAGTACCCTGTTACTGCATTGCATCAACATCAAAGCAGGTTAAATGAGGGGTCCTAAGTTCATTTATTACCATGGGATGTAAGCAGATACAGTTAAGGCTTCAGTGTTCCTCCCAGATCAGACAGAGCCAATGGTGTGTACAGAAGTATTGCTTGTCTAAATACCCAACAGAGACACTGTGAAGAGTACACAAGCAGTGACAGACCTCAGTAACACTGCACACATGGACCAGAGACATCAGGGGCCGGGGCTCTGAAATCCAAGAAGATTTTAATAACATGGCAGCCACAATACGAGACGCGTTTCCACTGCTATTCTTGGCACGGTCTAGCGAGGCAAATAAAAAGTCTCCAAGAACACTCAAAAATAATACCCTCTATCAAGTTGTGTATGCAGTATTCAGAGCATATACCAGGCCTTGGCTTCTGGCTGAAGAGGTGTGTACAGGACTCTCTACTATGTTTTCTTCTAAATTAAAGGAGAAAACAACTGTGCATTCTGTTTTTCACAAATACATCATGAGGATGAGGATGATGAGGATGAGGATGTGGACAGCCAGACACACTTAAAATGTAAAATCTTAAGTAAATCAGACTAAAATGCTGTCAACACAAGACGCAAAAGATTCAGAAGAATGTGATAGAACCAAACTACTTGGGATGGATTTGATTACATACTTAATTGTGTGTAGTTTGAAAGTTAGGATCAACCCCAGCTTTAAGAACATGTAACCAGATGAAAATGGATATTTTCTAAAAGTTTAAGTTTGATAATAACACCATAGAACAATCCAAACAAGTCAACACAACTGTGAAGACAACTAGTGTCATTTATGTTATTGTTGTTATCAATCGCCATAAAATCATATTCTAACATCAATTACTCTGTTAAATACGTTTTCAACTGGAGTAAACTACATTGTAACGTCATAAATGTATTTTCTCTGTCAAAAGATATACAAAAATGTCAGCGATTCCATAAACGGAATGATGATGGAAGGCTGCATTACTTCTACAAACCACTAGGGGGCCATTAGACCAAGCACTGCTTCAGGCTTTTGTGGAATGCTGTTGCTCTGTGAGAGGGCTTTGAGGAATTCTTTCATTTTCATTTGTGCAGCACAAAATCCTCGGAATATATTACTAATTATGTAACAATTCATTGAATTGAACAGTTGCCAAACCCTAACCCAAACACAAACAGCTAAAGGATACACAAATATGAATGGTTTACAGTTTGAAATGAAGTGGGACAGTTGATGTTGGTCCATTAGTGCATTTTGATAATATAGGAATGTGTCAAAAATGAAATTGAATTTGTATAAATCAATTTAATTCAATATATTTGCATCTTGCTGTATAAAACCACATTGGGAGGCAGGTCCAAAAGTACCCAGTGTGCACCAGAGAAATATGAATTGAATTGATCCAAGCTGCTCTGCTTTTATTGGCAACTATTAAAAAAACTACAAAAGAAATGCTTCCAGATATTACATTATATGCATTCTTCTTATAAATACCTGTAACCTATTTTGAGATGGAATATTGGACCCACAACACAAAGCGGAGCGCCATAGAGGCTGCTATACAGATTCTGGTTTGTTCATTCATATTCAACCCTCCACAGTCACCCTTTACATAGTACTGAAGAGGTTAATTATATAAATGATCAGCAAAAAGTGGTCATTTGTGCCACTGACTGACCTGCAGGTCGACACACACTCAGTTGTCATGTTCTGTTGCAGCTGGAGGATGAGTTGCTGGCACTGCAGAAGAAGCTGAAGGGGACAGAAGATGAACTGGACAAATTCTCCGAGTCCCTGAAGGACGCTCAGGACAAACTGGAGCTGTCCGAGAAGAAGGCCGCAGACGTGAGTGACAGACGAGGCCGAGACAGTCTGAAAGCACAACATACAGAATCATACATTTATGTTGTATTTAGAAACCAGCAGCATCTGTGCACTGTGTTTTGCCCTGATTCAAGACCAGCATTCTGCCAACATACATGAGAAAAATAAAACTGATGACTACAGTTTTGTATTGTATCTCATGTCTAGACCCAAATCCAAAATTACCATTGCATATATATATATAAACAACGATGCCGACATATTTCAACAGTACATTACGACATTCCTTATTATAGCAGCATTGAGATTACACTTGAATGAACATAAAGTGCATATTAGTAAGTAAGTAAATACAGTATGTGATCTTTATTTATATTAGAGTCACAAAGCGCTTTACAATTTGTTTTTTTTGAGGCATTTGTCTCTCGTTCCACACATAGAGGGGAGCAGGGTCGCCATACAGGGGGCGCATTATCTATCTCTTTTGACAATATAATGTAATTCTTACACTACAGTAAAAACTATGTTTTCACATTGAAAACATTATTAGATGAGGAAGGACTTAGTGGAACTCCCTTTCACTGCAAATATAGAAGCAAGTCTCATGAGGAATGAGTCCACAAGTTTTGGACAATTAGAGACTGAATTTGTATTCTATCTTCTTCTTTCCATTACAGCTCCATCTCTATCAGCTCTATATTACTTTTTAGATCATGTCACAGTTTCTGGATTGAATATCTGGACCTTCACTGGGCCACTCTATCACATGATTGTGTTTTGTTTTAAACCATTCCATTGTATGACTTTATGGTTGCCAGATTGGTGTAGTGCATGACTACATGTGCAAATTTCCCCAGGGGAGCTGTGGATGTGAGGGCCTCGCATCTGCATTTATGATCAGTGATGTCCTTGTTACAGTTTCGGTAGACGACTGTGACTTAGTGAGGCCATCTGAGGCCATCACAGAACAGCTGTAATCACACTGACTACACACAGGAGTTATTACATGTTGAATATTAAATATACAAAAAAATTAGGTCGATATTTGACTATTTGTCAGTCACCAGCCTCTAACAGCCTGTTGGCTGAATACTTTTGCAAGCCCCATGTTATAAGTTTTTGACTACTTTTTAGAGTTAGCTTGAACCCAAGCCACTATAAACATGTTCTGTATTAGCTAATGATTCATTGAGCACACCAGCGAAGCAGACAGCAGTTGCACACTCACAATGACACACAATCCCCTAGACATTACAACCTTGGTTGTCATAAGAGCAAGCATTTATGCCACACAAATATTCATTAATTCATCTCAACCTGAAAACCATTGCTTCTAAAGTCATGTCTGACGTGCAGATTTTGCACTATGGACTCCTTATATCTGTATTACTGCAAGAAGGTCCTGCGTTCAATTCCACCTGCAGTCTTTTCTGTGTGGAGATTGCATGTTCTCCCCGTGTCTGCGTAGGTTTCCTCTGGGTGCTCCGGTTTCCCCTACCACTACACACATGTCTCCTTTTGTTCAACCTGGAAGGACTCAAAAATAAACCGGGTTACAGTTGTGATCGCTGCTGCCTCTGTCTTTGTTTCTCAACAGTCAAATCAGGCCCTTCATTAAAGAAAAGGGGGAAAAAGTGTAGGCATCGTCCTTCCAACACCACACACCAGCATACAGGCAGATTGTGTATCTGCCCCATCACCAGAACGATATCAAAACATAGCAGCATATTGACTAACCGAGCCGACCCCAGTGTGTTCTCACAGACAGTAGAACCACTCATCACATTTCTCTCATATTACTAATCACATATGATCCAACAGCAGTGACGCAGGAGCCGAGTGACTGACTTTAGTGACTGTTTGGTAAGTTTTTCTCAAGCACGGACAGAACGTTGACGAGCTGTAGCCGAGCAGGAATGTCAGGAATGCGGCCAAAGCAAACAGAGAACTCTATACTGCAGCCCCGACTAATGAAATCAATGCTTTGGCCTCAGAATGGGGCCGTATAATACAGCCGGCTTTGTGCCATGTATTGGTTTAACATTATGCTACAGTAGACAGACACAGTGCTGGGGTAGAGGGACTAATAATACAGTAGTCGTAGGAGTGGTGGTAGTAGTAGTAGTCATAGTAGCAGGAATATTGTAGTAGGAGTGGTAGTAGCAGTAGGAGTAGCAGGAGGAGAGGTAGTAGTAGTGGGTGTGGTAGTATCAGTCGTAGTAGTAGTAGTAGTACAACAGGGGTGTCCAAACTTTTGTAATAGGGCCACTGCAGTTGACCTGACTTGTCCAGGGGTTATCGACATCACAGATAACAGCTTTGACTGGATCAGGCTGTTCTGAGCTTTATAATGAGGTGTGAGATTTCATAACACTTTTAAGCAACTTTTGTTAAAGTTAAACTCATCATTCTATCAATGTGCAGAAGCCAGTACTTTTCCCTTGTTTTGTCTATCTGAAGGCCAAGCTACATGGCACCGTGGAAGCTGCTGATTGGAGGTCTCCATGCCTTCGCTCTGTATAATACACTTGCATTCTGTTGTATCTGTTGTTCGTGCTGTCGACATAAAACATGTCTTCTGTCGGAATGTAAGACGCGATCCCAGACTTTGTCATTTTCTTCAGAGGAAGACCAAATAGATTCACATTTGACAGTATGTTTACTAGCTTACAATCACACCACACCTACATTAGCGTCATATATGAGATTTTAGAAGTCAAAAACAAGTTAACGGCTGAAGTTGGATGACTCTGTGAACTTGTTTTTATGATTTATGCTCATTTGGGTTACCAAGGCAGAGGGCCACATAGCATGACACAGAGGGCCGCAACTGGCCCCCAGGCCTTAGTTTGGACATATCTGTTGTAGTAGAAGTAGGGGGAAGAGGTGGAATATTGCAGTATGATAAGCAATAGTAGTAGCAGTAGGAGGAATATTGTGGTAGGAGTAGTAGTAGTAGTAGAATTAGTAGTCAGCAATCAGCATATCTTTGTTTGTGTATCTTTACCATCAACAATAAAATATGTCTTCTGTCTGCGACATGATCCCAGACTGATCCCATAGCAGTGGTAGTAGTGGTAGTATCAGCACTAGTGGCGGGGGTAAGCCGTGGTTGTAGTATTAGTAGTAATAGTAGTAGTAGTGGTTGTAGTGTGAGTAGTAATAGAGGTAGTAGTAACTTTTGTTGCATCAAATATACTATAAATTATACATAAATCACACAAAATAGACTTCACACTCTTACTACAGGCACACACACACACACACACACACACACACACACACACACACACACACACACACACACACACTTACCACAGACATACATGCTCTCACACAGCCATATAGACCTGGTTATGAGTACTAATACACACACACTTACTCACTACTAGAGAAATCATGTCCAAATCACCCAAAACTTGAGTGTTATGAACTGATTTGTGTTAAGGCCCACATACAAATGCTCCTGCCTGTACTTCTTTCTGAGCCGAAGATGAAATGAAAAGACAAAGCTGTTCTTTTGTCGGTATAAGGTAAGGTATGTGTGATGCAATAAATAGTGAGGCAAGCCAGGGCATTATAACGTGATCTCATCTTACTTTGTGTGTGACTATACAACCCTCAATCGCACACGAAAGCAATTTACACATTGTTTTGGAGAAGGTAGCATTCTTAAGGTTAGATGTTTATACAGATGGATCAGCTTATCTCGATCTACTGGGGAAGAAAGCACTGGTGAAAGGTCAGAGCAGATGGGATGTAAACAATGGTATCTATTGACAACATTGTATTTTTTCCTAAACTTCCACCTCGTCCAGTGAAATGTTGTTGTCTGGAGATAAACATGTGTGTCATAGGAAAGGATAGACAGTTTTACAAGATAGGATTAATGTGAAAACGTGCATAAGAAGGAGGAGAGAGATGAAGGAATGTGTCGCCACCCAATGGCTGCGGGACATGAATGCACCGAATCAATTTACATTCCTGGCAATTGTGGGTCAACAACAGGGCCGTCTGAATAGGGTTATTAGAGAGCCCACCCAAATGAGAGACCTTCCTGAGAAATGTACTGTAAACTAGCCCCACTACTACTACTACTACTACAAACAATTTAGTAAGAGGGCCGTTTTAGTTCACCAGACTTGTCCAGGGCCCGAGAACCCAGATTGTTAAACTGTTTGGACTGGATTCAGGCTGTTTATAAAGGGGTATGACATTTCCATCTGAAGTTGAACTGAAGTGTACTAGTTTTTTTATCTCACCGCAACTTCATTAGCGCCACATGTAATTTTGTCACATCTTTAAAACAATGTACATGTAGTTCAGGGGTGTCATTTAGAACGCTTAGCAAGACACAGGGCCACATAAATTGTCACATTGTATTTGGGGGCGCGGGCCTTTAGTTTGAACTGGTCTGTACTACTACCAGTATTACTAAATCAGATCTATTCTTATTTGTAAAGTGTTTTTCATACAACAAATGCAACACAAACGGCTTTACAGAAGAGAGCCCTAAAACAATGGCCATTGACCCATCAACTCACCCAACAGACCCACCCCAGATAATACACACACATAACATCTTTCCGCGCACACACACACACACGCACATACACACATGTATACGGTACATTCACAAACAGGGATGTGAGATTTCATAACACTTTTAAGCAACTTTTCTTAAAGTTAAACTCATCAATCTATCAATGTGCAGAAGCCAGTACTTTTCCCTTGTTTTGTCTATCTGAAGGCCAAGCTACATGGCACCATGGCAGCTGCTGATTGGAGGTCTCCATGCCTCCGCTCTGTATAATACACTTGCATTCTATTGTTTCTGTGATCGTGCTGTCTCTACCATCGACAATAAAACATGTCTTCTGTCTGAATTTAAGACGCGATCCCAGGCTTTGTCATCTTCTTCAGGTGGTGGAAGGATGCGTAACATCTAGAGAACAGAAGACTTTTTTTTTTTTACACAAAAAGTGTTTTTTTTTTAAAGCCAAAACTGAGAAACCTCAAGAGAATGCATCTGGATCAGCACTTGGACAATCTGCACAGCCCCTGATTCCACTCAGGCTGTGAGCTGCTGAGACATGGACAATACCAGCATCCTCTTTTGCATGGACACCATTTGGAACAATTGGATTTCTGAATTTGGACATAATTTGGACTGAATTGAATTGCTGAATCTGGACACTGAAGCTGAAACGTGTGATTGAAAGACACGTCACAGAAGAATTCATGGCTCGACACAAATGCAGCCTGAAGAAACCAACACGGAGAAGTGGGAGAGACTGTTTTCAAAGCAATATCTGGAACCACCATCGACTGATGAAGTTTGGTATTTTACTGAAGATTGTTGACAAGTTTTATGAAAGATCTGAAAATGTTTTATGAGTTTTCTGAGTTTTTGAAGTATTCCGAGTTCTGAGTTTTTTGAGGTACCGAGTGAAGTACCGAGTTTATGAGTTTTTGAAGTATTGAGTTATGATGTTATGTTGCTGTTTATCGATCCTGATGGTCACACGTGAATGTATGACCAGAGGGGGGAATGTGAGATTTCATAACACTTTTAAACAACTTTTGTTAAAGTTAAACTCATCAATCTATCAATGTGCAGAAGCCAGTACTTTTCCCTTGTTTTGTCTATCTGAAGGCCAAGCTACATGGCACCGTGGCAGCTGCTGATTGGAGGTCTCCATGCCTCCGCTCTGTATAATACACTTGCATTCTGTTGTATCTGTGATCGTGTGCTTTGTTCATGCTGTCTCTACCATCGACAATAAAACATGTCTTCTGTCGGAATGAAAGACACGATCCCAGACTATGTCATCTTCTTCAGGGACATCGAGAATATGAGGCTGAATGTAGGTGTGAGGTTGTGTTTCCACCGCAGGAACTTTGGTGTAACTTTCCAGGGCCTGCCCCGTTGGTGCTTGTCTCCACAGCAGGAACCTCCCCCACAGGAACTTTTTTCAGAACCAACGGAGTACCTCCGCCATGCTAGGCTAGCTCCTGGGTGGGGATTGAGCTTAACCCAGCACTGATTGGCTAAAGCTAGAGCAGAAAGCACCAAAACAAAAATCGACGCCCACAGGAGATGGATTCTGCTCATACTTTCCTTGGGACGTTTGTGCGACAACCAATCAGAGCGGACTGAGCGAGCAGACTGAAAATACTCGTAAACAGCCAAAACAGGACCCACACCAGGCTTCACCAGAACTCAAACCAGGGTTGACAATGGGGGACTCTGTGCTTGTGAATATATGCGTTGTCATGCTCCCGTGACCTTATGCAACTGCTTCCAGTGTGTTCACCGATGCGGAAATTCCGTTTAATAATATTAAAGAACGTATGGCGCACCTCCGTCAACACATACTACTGTTATATAAAGCCCGTGAAAAGTCTCTGATCAAAGACACGCTGCAGAGCTGCATATTGGAGAAGATCTGTACACAAGAAGCCGCTAGCATAGCTCTGTTAGCATCAAAGCCGGCCGGCTACTTCCGGTACTTCCGGTTCGCGTCAGGACGTTCTGGTGTGAAGTCCTCTGCGTCTGAAAACTAGAGAATGCGTGTCTGGTGAGCGGGGCTTCCCGTTTCAGCGTTGGCGGTCTGAAAGCACCATTAGCCCAGCAGCATTAGCTTAGCAGACACCACTGGAAACAACAAACAACTACAGCAAGACGTACGGTAAAAGAACGGATGATGAGGCGCAGGCAGTTTCCTTCTACAGCACCGTAGAAATTCAGACAGGGTTTGAGCGAAATGAAAAGACATATCAGCGCACAGCGTAAAAATAAAAGAAAAATGAAGCAGGGCTATAAAAAACTCAAAGACCACAAGAATGGAGCGCTTCCGACCGTAAAATAAATAATTAATGATTATGCGGCGACTGAAACTCATGACGTCGTCGAGGGGCCTTACTCTGCAGGGGACACACGGCCACTGAGAGGACGATTCCTGTAGAAGTCCCCCCCATTTTACCTGGAACTCCAGCGGTAGAAACACAACTGTTGCTGCTAACATCACTACTGTAACTACTGCACTGAAATAAATACTTTTCATAGTTTCATGCCCGCCCTCATGCAGTCTTCTAATTCCACAAATACTTTACATGTATACCTTTACTGGCTTGTACTGTATATAGTAGAATACAGTAGTAGTCACTGTATTCATGTTATCATTTTCTTATGACCGTCCCTTATATGTGTGTATGTGTGCGTGCGTATGTGTATGTGTGTGTGTGTGTGTGTGTGTGTGTGTGTGTGTGTGTGTGTGTGCGTTGATGTGTGTGTGTGTATATTTTGTGTTGAATGAGTGAGAGAAGATTTGGAGCCCAATAAGCGTTTGCTTCGTCCAACCCCTTTTCAAACTGTTTTTGCATCCTGGTTTTAAATTTTGTATGAAAGATAAATACATACAATATAATACCACAAATACACACATTTCAGTCATTCTCCAGTTATGATAATATGGATAAGCGTCATTGATTACAAACAATGTTGCAACACAGTCAGCAGACATGGAGTTGCCTCGACAAGCAGAGAAAAACAAATTACACACAACAAAACACGGACACACACCCCGCAGAGATATTTGAGACCAACTTATCCTACACATCATCTTCAAAATGCAAATATTTCTTTACAAGGATGTGATAGAAACTGGCATTTATTCCACTAATACAGACCTATTCAACTCGCGGCCCAGGGTCAGACTGAGGCCCTCCAAGCAATCCGACAAGGCCCACTGCCCATCTCAACAAATATAAAGAAAATACATTCTTTTTAACAGATGTAAACCAGATTTAGACTTGTTTTCGTGCTATAATAGTTAGAATTTTTCCTATGTACTGTTCACTACCACTTTGACTTTGAGTTTTGTAATCTGGTTACACGTCCAGTATGGTTCTCATACGCAGATTCAGGATAAGTTTGACTGAGCCATGTTGTTTGAGACTATTACAATGAATTCTTTGCAAAAATATAGAAAGTACTGTCATAGAAATATAGCTAAAATATGAATTATGTCAGATTTGATGTGATAAATGTCATGAAAAATGGGACATTATTTGTGCGTGTGTGTGTTCTGACAAAGATTCTGATCTGCCAAAAGATCCGGTCCTCTGGATATATCAGTTCCTGGTGTTCTCACTTTGCTCTATCAAATTGAAGCTGCCGCAGAATGATAAATGAGATAAAGTTGTGTGACTCAGCGGTGCAGAGTACACACTGTAGTGGTGCTTTGTACAACAGGAAGGAAATGTTGGTCCTGCTGAATCATAAAGGAAACGTGAATGACTTGGGGCTATGTCTGCAGCCAGCGGTGGAAGCAGGCACTTCACTTCAAATAATGTTCAAGCATATGAATAATCTCACCGTTTATTGTCGTTCTAAAGATGTAGATCAGTGCAGTTTTTCCCCAAGGACCCGATAACATGTCCAGTCATCTGTCTTTAAGCCAAAAATATATGTGACTCATTTCAATTATGTACTTCTTTGAATGGTGTCCATAATCACCAATATATTATCTTTACAGAATAAATATTTTACGCATTATATTTGGCCTATTAATGATGACATATTTTGCTTTGCCATTTAATGTTTAAGATGTGAAGTAATAGTTTCAGTAGAAAATATATGATCAAAGAAGTGCCCTGTGCCTCTGCTACCACCTGAAGGAGCTGTAGAATTGTTTTTTTTTTTTTTTTTTTTTTTACAAATTTGATAATTACCGGCTGCATACAGTAATGCTATTGTAAAGTAATTTATGTGAGACACTTTTGTTTTAAAAGGCATAAAACTGCTCTGGGTGTGACATCATACTGGTACAGTGACATCATAATAATACTGGACTGAGACAGGAACTTTCTTGACATGAGGGCCGGAGTTACGTGTTTGTTCCAGAAGTTCTTGATATTAGCGTGGATGAATTTTGATGAGGGAACAATGTTGTAATGTGGTTAAAACCACAAAAAAGTATGACATTACACTTGCCTCCATCCAGGGCTGTGCAGAGACCTTTAGGGGCAGGTTCTCAGTTAGACGGAGGCACATGGATTTGAAACACTATTGAAACATGCTTTGCAATAACATGGGTTGAATGGTTGCAATATATTTTTGGCCTAACAATAATATTAATACTATTGTGGAGTGTAGTTTAATAAAACATTCATACTTAACATCTATAACTGTCAACACCATTTAGTTTGCCATATGAACCAACTCGGACTCTGAGGTGCCCAGAGTCAGGACTAATGGGGAAGCAACATTTCAGATTTATGCAGACACAATCTGGAATGGTCTTCCTGAAAATGTGAGATGGGCTTCTTCTCTGAAAATGTTCAAATCCACATTAAAAACAAACATACAACTGGAAGACTCTAATCTACCCCTTTTAATGTACTGTGATTATCTATTTGCAATTGCACTCACGTGATTGTTTCTATCTTGTTTTGTTAAGTACGGCCTTGTGTATAAATTGTGCCATATAATTAAACTTTCCTTGCCTTATTTGCATTTCTTAAAAACCCTCCTATTTAACCAGGCTTTTAGGACTTTTATGAGATTTTAACCCTGTCATGATTTTTTTTTATATATATTTTATGTGCCTTTTTCTTCTGTTTGTTATAATAAATGTTAATCTGTAGCGCTTTGGAGGTAATTGTAAGGTGCATTATAACAAAATTGATTCTTTTTTTAGGCTCAGGCCGCCCCCCATCTGAGCAGGGGGCCAAGCGGGAAGCAGCCGTCATTCTCACTGCTGCGCCTCTGCCTCTTCCTCTGATTCAAAGCTGACATGTTCCCTTAATGCTACACCTTACTTTCCATATAAGTCCACAAAGGCACATTTCCCTCTTACAACACTCCTCTTTTGTTGCGCGGCGCGTTGAGCCTTCCCCTCCCGGCTGCTGTGATGTCATCCCTGCGCCCTGTGCTTCACCGGATTGGAGGATCTCGACAGAAATTTCCTGAAAACTCCCAACCCTTTTTTTCTTCTCTCCCAACACTGCACGTCCCTTATTTCCTGTCCCAGAAAAAAAGTTCAGTCGGGCAACCAAGCACGGACTTTTTGGGCAAAACCGTCACGTTTTAGTGTCGCCTAAAGCTAGATTCGCGTCTCCAGCATCTTCTCTCACAATCGGGATAGTATTAAAAAGAAATGGACGGAGTCAGGAATAAGTTCAGAGCCCTGCAGTGCTGCGCGGATGAGGCGGAGGAGCGAGCCAAGCAGTTCCAAGCAGAACTCCAGGTTGAGCGAGAGGAGCGAGAAAAAGTGAGATTATTCTAACTTTTGCGCACGCATCTATGTATTCCTTATTGGTTTGTGTTCTTGCTTGACTCTTCTCAGCCTTATAACCTCATACATCTCTCATATCTTGAAACTGATTTCAATGCTAAACTATTTCTGTACCGCAACACTACAGATTTAAACTTTTACGCACAGTTTGCACATTTTCCTCCATTTTTGCTCCTTTCCGTGGCCTTGTTACGTGGACGCACTGAACAGGAAGTTACTCCCAAGACCCACTCTGACCTAGATTTGTAAAGATTTGACACTTTTTAACTGTTTGAATATCACCTAATCGCATTACACCACTGAATTATGAGACATCTGCTTTATTTCCCTGTGCGTAAAACTCCCTGCCTGCTTCCTGTTTTTTAACGTTGGCTTGAAAAATGCTTATAATGGGTGTAGTTACCAGGGTGTGTTCAAATACCGCCTCATCGCGCACTCACGCTTGAGGATATAGCCACCTGTATGGACATATGCTCCAATTGGAATATTTGAGTCCCCTTTTAGTGCGTAATGATGAAATTGGGTTACAATGGGAAATCCTGTCGCTTTTACGCGTTCCCTCCAAAAGTCGTGACACATTTTACAACCCTCCCAGTTCCTTCAACTTCTTATCATTCACGCCCAGACCAGCGAGGACACGTATCAGCCAACGCACACAGGAACCATCATGAGGCTGCTACATAGTTTGTGAAAAGCAGCTGTGGCGCATCACGGTTCAGAAAGTTCAAATCCTCCAAGCCACACTGGCCCTACCGCTGCCCCTCCTTCAAAAGTAACTATGGAGAGAAGGGGAAAAAAAACACAAGTGAAGGCTGCATATGGTTACCAATGTGTCAATTATAATGTCCATGACTGTATTTTATATGTATTTTATTTTATATATTGTGTCTTTTGTTATGGTTGTGTGGGAGGACAGTAAAAAGGGCAAAATCCAAAGTGCATGGCCTCAGGGGACAATCATAACAAGCTATTAAGTTATTAATGATGAATAGCTTTGTTTTCGTATTTAGTAATAAACAAAATACATGTATGTCAGGTTTAAACAAATATTATTATTATTATTTTTAGCAATAACGAACTTTACAGATTACAAGTTCCATAAATAACATGGAAAACCTGTTTACTTTTGCTTACCCTGTGAGTCACTATTGGACACTTTGGGGTGAGGGCTGGTTGGCTGAGCAGAGGTGGGCTTCTCTTTTCACTTTCTCAAAGTTCTGACAGTTCATGGTTACATTCATATTTCTGTCACCTCAGCAATGACTATTTTCTACTGCACCAGTGATGTCATGAGATTCAAAGTACCTGCACATCTAGATGATAAAAATAAAAGCATCCAGATATTTAAGAATTTATTATACGTTGCAAACAGTCACCAGCTTTGATAAGAAGAAGGAAAACTTCAAGATCTGGTTCAAAAATGATTCCAAGTCACTCCACAGTGAAAAGTATGGAGCTGGTGATGACCCAAGAGGATCATGGAATTCAGACAAAAGTTGTGTCATCCGTGTAGTATGCAACATCGTCATGACTACATTGCTCAAGCCTTTGTGAGCAGCGCATATAAAATGTTTTATGATCCATAAAGTTATGTGAAAGTTGTCCTTTTTTGGCTTTAAACCCCCTTCACACTATTTAACGCCTTTTCCTGTTTATTCTGATGATGGCCTTGTGCAAATAATGAATATTCTGTCCAGTGTGCAAGGTCCAGAGCTCATAGTGTTTGTTATTATTACAAGACATATTGGTCAGGGTCACCACAGATGTGAAATCACCGCCCTGACCATGTGCATGGAGACGTCACACTGTGTTTGGAATAATACTGTGTGGAAGTTCAACACTGCTCTTGTAGTTGGTCGTAACAATGAAAAGCCCCTGACATGTAACCAGAGTTCAGTTATTTTGACTGATTATTGGACTTAAGTTAATAAACTGAAACATGAATCTATAATACGGACATGTATTGTCTTGTGGTGACTCTGCAACGCTCCAAACATCTTTGATCCCACAAACTTGCACTGTTTTAATCTCCACCGAGAATGAAAAGCAGTCAGGGATTAGTAGGTAGTTATTACTATGGTCCATTAATGTATTGTGTTCAAAAACGTTGAGGAAATACAACTTCTGCCCCATTGTGTTTTATTTAGGCCTGTCACAATAACAGTTCAATTTGGAGAGACGTGAAACAAGAAGCTTTTGAGTATTTATTGGGAGGAGGTTTGGCGCCCTAGGCCCCGGTGCGGCCTTCAGATCGGAGGGGCTCTGCGATGGAGCATGCCAATCCCCCGGGACCTAGGCACTGGTGGCGGCATTTGGCAGCGGGAAGCAGATTGAAGGCAGAATGAAGCAGGGTGAAGAGGAGGAGGAGGGGAGGCGGTGGCTGCAGGCTTCAAGAGGCCGAGAATGGGAGTTCCTCCGCTTTTAAGCAGCTTGCCTGGCTGGACCGGTGATTGGAAGGGGGCGTTTGCCGTGCGATAGGCTGGGGATGAGAACCGGCCTGGAGGGGTTACCTTTGGCTGACGTCTACCAAATTGAACTTACGCTGGCTGCATTTTAGAAGGATGATGCTCGTCCGATATATATTGTGAAATATGACTTTATATTCTTGCAACAACAAAAAATATCAGCTTCATGTATCGAGGCTCAGGATGTATTATCGCTGATCATGGGACTGTGATGGCATTGTTTTTAATATGAAACATGTCTGACCAATCCAAATCTGAATACGCCAGTACAAGATGATGATCACCAAAAAGAGCAAGTGTCTTCATTACTAAAAATTGGTGAAATAAAATTGAATATTGGGATTTATTTCTGTAATTAAACTTAAAATGTGAAAACTGTATATGATATTGATTCATGACAAGAGACATACGCGAAGCCTTTGTTTATTAGGTTGTTAGATAATGGATAACTGCTCATTTTCAATATATTCAAAATTTTATTTTGGGTTTTTACAGCTGTGAGCCAATTATCAGCATTATAACCAACCATTATAACCATTATAGCTTGATATATCTCACTTAATCTTTTGTGTTGAATGAGTCATGTATTAGTTTCACATTGTAAGTTACAGAAGTAAAGTTGACTTTTGAATTATATACTAATTTCAGTTTCACCGTGATGCAGTTTGACACAACACATAATTGCTACTATTGTCATTGTTCCATCATTATTGGGTAAATCACTCCCGAATTACTCCATAGGAATCCTCCCACTGCACCGCCCTCTTCCAAAACACACACACACACACACATGCTCATACCACATACACAAAGTCCCAAACACAATGGTCCTGGTGTTTTTTTTTACTGACCTGGCCTCTGATCCACTTCCCCTGTTGTGTCCAGGCCGAGGGAGAGGTGGCGTCCCTGAACCGCAGGATCCAGCTGGTGGAGGAGGAGCTGGACCGCGCTCAGGAGAGACTGTCCTCAGCTCTGCAGCGGCTGGAGGAGGCCGAGAAGGCTGCGGACGAGAGCGAGAGGTGAGGGCGCTGGGGGCCCGCCACAGACCAGAGAGTGGAGGGAAATGGAAGGGCAAAGGGGGAAAAGACATGTTAGTGACACCCGCTGGAAATGACCACGGCGCACTTAAAACTGGAGTACCTAAGAAATAATCCACTCCGTACTATATACAGTATATATATATGTTTTTTTGTTGTTGTTGAAAGACTGGTATTGAAGCATTTACAGCAGGTGTCTCCAAACTTTTTCACCCAGAGAGCTGCTTCCCTGGGACAATAAAGGCAGAGAGCTACTTCTTTAAGCCCTGGGAAAGTTCGGTGATATATTTGTGTGAACGAGCCTGCTTGTTATTTATCATCTCGTATTTGTTACCAGCGACAAAGTTCATTTACAGTAATAAATAATTATCATGAATAATACAATCTGAAATATTAAGTTTATTATTTGATTTGTTCATTTCTAAATCCTTTGGCGAGCTACCTGGAAGGGGGTGGCGAAATTTCCCCCACTGTGGGACGAATAAAGGATCTCTTATCTTATCTTATGTCCCAACTGAGAGAGTATTAAAAAGTAAAACACTGAACAAGACCACAACATGCCGCCTACATGCTATTAGAAAACCTTTGCAAACATGGATATAAGAAAGAACCCTGTGAGTCACTATTTGATGCTTTGGGTTTTATGAGGATGGTTCGAGGGCTGTACGAAAAATGGAAAGAAGCATTCTCAACTTCTGTCAATCTCAGTATTGACATCAACATCAAGAGACAAATGACTTATTTCTCCTAAATTCACTTTCGCCCAAACTCACTGTTTTAGATCCAACAGCTCCAGCAACCGCCTTTCACAATGTCGTTATTCATACATCCTCTGAGTGTGTTTATTGCCTGTATATATCACATTTAAATAAACATATTTGATCAAAAACTGAGAGGGAAAACAATCTTATTTTAGTGCCTTTCTCGCTTTGCTGTCCAAAGATGTGACCACGGCCAAAAATGTATGTTTGGAGAAATTAGTATGAAACCAAATTGTTTTTCGAGCCAGGAACTAGATATAATCCACTCCATTTTAATTTTATGCCACATTTTACAAAACATTTTTCCTTATTTCCATACGAGTCTGCCAGTTTTATGTATACTGCATATAAGAATGATCAAGAATAACATCAAGAAATATTAATAATAAATTGGGACGTATGACATAGTTATACATTGTTCCCAATATTTTTACTTCCGCTTTATCTATTCTCTCTTTTTAAGTAAGATTCAAGTCAACACTGTTCTGAAATGATAGCTTAGAAGTACTGTATGTGCTGATTACTGCCCCTATATAGTACGCCTGTATACATACTCAACTATGCAGTAGATCAAGTTGGCGAGCGGCAGATGTTTTTAGTGACTTTCAACTGTAACGTAGAGCCAAGTGAAGGGCTTTGAAGAGAAGCACCATTTTGGAGAGAAGAAATGCACTGGCGCTGGCACTTCCTCTTTAACCACAACTGCTAATCATTATCATACATTTAAAACTGGACAAACATTTAAAATGTGGTGTTGCATAAATATTGTGAAACATGTGAGAAGTCTGAATTTGGATTGGATTGAAGCTGATGAAAGCCTCAGCAATCCTTTCTGTCACAAAGCATGGTTTCAGTAGAAGTCAGAATGAGAACAACCATGAGTCAAAAATCAAAAATTTAGTGTATCCAATTTTTTTCCCCTCCATCTCTGATTCCTCAAAAATCAAACAGATTAACACACAAAAATCACTCTGTTTTGTCACCAGTCCGGTTTTGATTTTGGTACTCGTGCTGAGGGGTACACAAGGCAAAAAAAAAAGTTGGGAAAGACTGTTCTAATTTAACAACGGATAAATGGAAAGAGTTGCCCTAATTTTAACTTATTCAGCTCATATCATAACGCCATATAATAGAACCATACATCCGACAAAACCACAAAATGCCAATGTAAATAGATTCTTAAATTCAACCTTCCCCCACTGTGCAAACCAAAAAACAATTCTCCCGTCTTCTCTTTTCTAAAAGTCAATTATATAAATAATTTCTTGACCATATTTCCCACGATTACTGATTGTTATTGTGCCATTTCAGAGGGATTAAAGTGATTGAGAACAGAGCCATGAAGGATGAGGAGAAGATGGAGATCCAGGAGATGCAGCTGAAAGAGGCCAAACACATCGCAGAGGAGGCCGACCGCAAATATGAGGAGGTGAGAATCCAGTTCACAAAAGTAATCCACGCAGCTGGATTAAAACATATCTGAATATTGTCTGTCTGTTTTCTCAGGTCGCCCGTAAACTTGTGATCCTGGAGGGAGACCTGGAGCGCGCCGAGGAGAGAGCCGAGATTGCAGAGATGTAAGAAACACACGATACTGAAATCGCAAAAATCATTTAGATAAACTTGAGCTGCAGACAAACTGTAGCGATGTGGGAGTAAGTGCCATGTTGTGTGATTGTGGTGAGATGAGACAATACAAATAGAAATACAAATGACTTCTCTAGATCTCTTTAAGAGCCGGTGTTTCCCAACCGGGGGTACGCGGATCCCTAGTGGTACGCAGGGGTGTTCTGGGGAGTACTTGATACATTTGATAGTTAGAGTGTATTATGGGCTACTATGGCATGTTATACAATACTGCTATAATTCTCTCATTAAAACAATCACACAATTAGTCTATTCTAAACATTCCAAACGCAGAGAACACAATTTGTAACTTATTTTTGCCTAAATAATAAATCTTGTTTGATGTGTACATGATCTGAGCTCTTATTTCTCCTTCTCTTCTGCTGTAATGTGCGGAAAATATGACATAGAATCTAGGTTTATCTTATCTTAACACAATAATTGGTTTATTATTGCATTATCAGTCTGCAATATTAGCCTTTTTAACCTCTTTTGACCCAGTCTTTTTAAGTTAAGCATGAAAACATACAATTGATTTTAATATAATCAAAAGATGCAAAAAAGTTATAAGTAAACGTCCCCAAAACAAAACCTTGGTAAAACAGTAATACCTATAAACAGTTGTGGCCCCGAACCAGACTGAGCTTGTCGCTGGTATATGGTACATGGTGCATGGTACACGGTGCCCTGTCGACGCTGGTGAGGGGTACACTGGTTGAGAACCATTGTCCAAAGCTTTAGTCTCAGATCTGAAGGAATGGTTCGCTTTTTGTTTAGGAGCAGGGACAGAATCTAAATTGGAGTTGAAATAACTGATCGTGCTGAAGTACGTTGGCAAAATATAAAAAATGCAGATATTATGCAATGTTTAGATTAGTTTTTGATCATTTTTAGTGCACTGGAAGAATGCTTTAGCTTAATTCTGATGGATGCCTGTAATATAGTGATTGAGATTATAAAACATGCTTTGAGAATTTTACTTTCCTCAATAATTCCAAATGATGGAACAGGATTGTGGTTCGCTGAAGTAGATCAGAAGACAAATTGCCAAAATAAATACTGTATGTGATTACTTTTAGTGATGCCCTCTTCAAACACATTCTGCAGACATTCTAGAATTGTGGGGGTCATACTGTAAAACTTCTTCTCTGCCTGTTTAAGTCTAATGTAACTTTCAAAACGCGATGAATTTATCACTAAACTAGTTGAGATCAATCCATTTTAACTTGTTAATGGAAATGAAAATGTAAAAAACTATCCAAAAATATCTGTTTGGACTTATTCCTACAGCAACAAATGAGCTGTGGCCATGTCGACATTCCAGCACTGATGTTATACCTTTCCCTGGAATGTTTCACAGTGTGGCTTTAACCGGAGCGCAAGAGAGTCCAGGGGCTCAATGACGAGTTTTATCTGGGGCGCACTGAACGAATGCACGTTTTCAGATGTATTATCATGATCATTATTATTATCATTATTAGTATTATTATCATTATCATTGTCACGTGAAGGCTCCGTGGCAAGGACTACAGATGGAGATGGAAGTGGGATCTTGCTCTGTCCTCTCCATGCATTGACCTAAGATTGCAGAACCTCTAGGAACGATGCGTTTTGCAAGTTTTTTCTTTAATAGTTTTCTCCCTGTGTGCCTTTTCGTTACCTCTCCTCAACACAGGGGAAAAGAAAGGAAAAGCAAAAAGGACTACACATGGAAAGTAGCATGATGAATCTGATGCAGCCATCTTTTTAATGTAACTGCAGTATCCCTAAGTAAATAAACTTCATAAAATCATTGTCAAACTCTGAAACTAGAATCGAAATACTAACACTGGGTTACGAGTGGTTTTAATGAATAAAAACATGAATGATTGGTCTTAATATGGCCGACTCAAACAGGAAAACGTGTTCATATATATAAAAAGTCAACAAGGGAACTTAACGAAGATGCAAAGATCTCTTGTGTCAGGTTTTTGCGATGAGATTTTAGAATTTAAAGGTCATTATTTTTCTTGTGATCTGTCTGAAAGGGAGTGGAAAGAAGTAGAACAAATATTTATAATCCCATCTTTATTGTATATCACCACAATCCAGACATCCAGAACTAAACATTTACAGTACATTGCTCTTTTAATAACGAAACCTGTCTGACTTATTAAAAGAACCTTCTGAGCCATTTACAAACTGAACTTAACTGCAAGAATTGGCTGAACTCATGCAACTTGTCAAGATCACACAACATCCTATAAAGAAACACACTGACGTTATGAAAGATATCTACCACCTGCTGTTTTTACCCAAACCAAAACAGAACTTTAAACTATCGTTTTCCCTTTTTCTTGCAGTAAGTGCACCGATCTGGAGGAGGAGTTGAAGAACGTGACAAACTCCCTGAAGTCTCTAGAGGCTCAGTCTGACAAGGCAAGTATTAGTTTACTGTATCTCCGAGAACCAACTGTACATTTATCCTTTGAAGTCGAAAAAGACCATTCTCGGTGCGTGCAACCAAATCTAAATGAACAGTACGCACAGATTATTACACTGCAGAAAGTGGTGAAAAACAAGCCAATAATTGCTCAAATTTGGGAAAAAATGTATCTTGATTTGAGCGAATTTTTACTGCCTTAAAACAAGATTGGCCAATGGGACCAGCAAAATTGTCTTGTTTTAAAAAGGTACAACAAATGTCTCCTTGTGGAATGAGAAAATAAAGCAACAATTCTTTCTAATGGCTTTGTCCCATTGGCAAATGGGAATTTACTCAATTTAAGTTGATAACCAATTCAATGATTCAATCAATTATTACCTCATATTTTATCATTTTTTGCAGTGTACGCCAGTTTCTATAGTATGGTCTACAAACAGGACATCTCACTCCTTATCCACTGTATTATTTTGTGGTTTGTCTATGGCTGCCTTTAACGCCAGCTCTTTGTATGCGTGGATAATAATAGACATTTTCCGTTTACAGTATTCTGAGAAGGAGGACAAATACGAGGAAGAGATCAAGATTTTGAATGACCGGCTCAAAGAGGTGGGACCAGAGTTTTTACTTAAGTTGCGTTCTTGTTGTAGTCTTGTGTTTCAGTTGGACTGCAGGGGCCTATTTAACTCTATAGGAGGGTTTTTCTATCTTTTTCTAAAATTTAGTCATATAATTCTTTTAATCTGAAAGTCGTTTCTACAACATCAAGTCTACAATCTAGATTTTAATGACTGTTACCACTTCTAGACCTTTTTTGTGAGATAATAATTAGACAATAGTTGATGTGTGGCAGTAGTTTCATGTGGTCCCGGAGTTAACGAGAAATTATCTTACCTTAAATTAGATTTTAGTCTCAGCCGCTAGTTTATTGCTAAAGTATTTGCTTCTTCTAAACCTCAGGAGCTTCTGAGAAAGACAGAAGTAAAGTTGTAACTATCTTGTCTGGCATAAGAATCAAATAACTTAATCTACCAAGAATCTAAACTTAAAGATGCAGTAGTGATTTTTTTCCAGATGCATTTTTTTGAATATTGTGTGAAAACGTCCCTAATCCCAAAAAGTAGTCAAGTTATGGAATTGACCAGATGCCTATACATAGTTCCCACATGACGTCACTACATACGGGGATTTGCCGACCCGGCACCATTTGTATTGGCATGCTGTGGGCAAAACAATAGAAAAAGAAGCTGAAACGTGTTAATGTTGTGATAAAGTTGAAAATGGTCATCTCCTGCTGGGTCAATGGATGTTCAAATCGTGCCGGAGGTTCCGTTAAACTTGGATTTTACAGTATACCCATCATTAGACTTCATGAATGTGAGAAGACTAAGCTTTTGTCAGAACAACCACGGAGGTTATGGCTTGCGAAGATAAACAGGCAAGAAACTCCCTCAAAACACGCAAGAATATGCTCGGAGCACTTTGTGTCAGGTGCGTATCGTATCTTATAATGTGTTGACAGACGTAATTTACTCAGTACTAACTTGTGTATGCTGATAGCTGGTAACTTGAGAGTTTCATTATTTAGCGTTAGATTACTTTATTATGAGGAGGATCGGTGTCGCGTCCGAGGCTCTCGAGGGCAACGTAAATGTATTAAATAGATAATAATAGTTCTATGGTGGGCTAAAACAATGTTCACAAACAGCATTGCTTCTGTAAAAAGATCTGTGTCATAAAATAAACTGCTCTTTACGCCTGGAAAAATCAGTTGCCCACCATTCACCAAAACATACGGTCAAAAACGCGGAAATAAACAATAACAGCAATCCAGAGTGTCCGTGTGGCATTAGCATTAATTAAATTAATTGTTAATATAATTAAAATAATTAAATGGAACTCCAACTGGTATTAAATCTAAAGTTTTTGAGAAATGTTTGCATTGCTTGTTAATTCTTGCTGCATAATTTGATCAAATATGTAAAACATGTCCGTAGCACGTTAAACTGTGGTGCCATTGTATTAATATACAATTATTTGCTCAAAAGTTGCCCTTTTTTTTCCAATTTGCGTTTGAATATCTACATTTATTCTCATTCTTCTGTTTAATGGAATGCACAAACACAGCAGCGTGCCATCAAAGATGGCGTCTCCGAGGAGGTCATGTGACATTCATTGGTCTGTGGGAACTATGTATAGTCTCCAAAAATTAATTCAAATGTTTTGGAGCGGACGGATAAAAATAAACCAATGGGATTTGTTCATCACCAACGAACCAATGGGATGGGTTTACCCCCTTCACCCTCTTCCTGTTTCTCGCGAGTGCGCATCTGAGTTATCGGATTTTCTAAAACCTAAAAGGACTGAACAGAAAATGCCGATTTCACGTTTGCCACCCACTCTCCCTGTTGTGACAAAGAAAATGCTGGATGTTTGGTTTGGTGGAGAGGGAGGGGAGGGGGGAGTGGTTTCGAGTTGGTGCTACGGCTAAGCTAACAAAATTGCTTACCGCACCTTTAATCTAAACAAAAATCTGACTTTTGACTGTTACCATAGTTACCGGAAGCGCTCTATCAACTTCCCTCCACCACATGTTTGACCAAAGGCTCTTTGGAAATGCATGCAACGATTTACTTCATTTGTTTTGAGTAAATATTATGCTTACTGGTATTTGTCTTGAAACCTGCTCTGTCTGCAACCACTGCCCTGCGCACACAGTCTCGGTGCAAAGCCCTAATATCGGATGTGACACATGAGTAAATAATGCCTCAGGGCGACTGTGGCACAAAAGAGTCTCCCTCCAGAACAATGCAATAATCCAAGGCATATTCTCAAAGTCTTGGTCTACTTTTTATTACATTGTATTATGACAAGCAGACTGAAGAATTGAGAAAGCATGAGGTAACAGTTCTTGAGTTTACGAACCTGTAATTTTGTTTTTTTTCTATGTCTGAAGATTACTTTTACTACTACTGAGATTAGGATTCAAATTAAGAGAGCCTTTGTTTGCCCCACAATGGGGAAATGTCAGGGTCATATCATGGGTTCCAGAACAGTAGGAATGTGGAGCACACAGCACAAGATAAGTGAATATGAAGTCTTAGTCTCTGGCTGAAAAAAGGATAAAAAAATTATACATATAAAAAGGTATTAACCGGTTTAATTCAATTCAACTTTATTACAGATGTCTGCATACTCAAGAGGTTTCTTTCTTTTTTAAACAGTGCTTTTTAAACAGGGACATTTATGCTCATCAATTGATATTTATGGACATTATGCACCCCACTTCCTATGGACCAATTATCTGATCTGTTCTTGGCGAATCTACAACTTTGCAGAGTTCTCTGAGACGACTTGTTGTGATTTAGGAATTGTTGTGTTGTGAATTTAACTACTGCCCTAAAATCTCCGGCTTTTCCCTCTTTTCCCCTCAGGCTGAGACTCGTGCAGAGTTTGCAGAGAGGACAGTGGCCAAACTGGAAACGACCATCGATAAGCTAGAAGGTATAATCCTCCATTTAGACGTATCTAATCGTCTCAAACACACTTCCCATATTTTTCCTCATCTCTAATGATCCTCTTTATTTTCCCCTTTCTTTCTGATTTCCTTCTTGGGATCTTCCTGGACTCCTCTCTTCTGTCTCCTTTGAATCTTGACCGTCAGATGAGCTGTACAATCAGAAACTCAGATACAAAGCCATCAGCGAGGAGCTGGATCATGCTCTTAACGACATGAACAATTTGTAAAGAAATAAATCCATGGATATAACTGTTGTACGGCTTCCGGCACTTGACTTTAGCCTCCACTTTGCATGACCCGACGCACTTTCCGCTTTGTTTACCCCCGATCCTTTTGCCTTTTAAGCTGAATAAAGTCTATTTGTCTATTTTGTTCAGTCTTTCTCATCTCTTTTTCTGAATTAGAGGATAGCAGTGTGCAAAAGAATCCAATTCATGATCAGTCTATCTATGTTTCAAAGTGATCCTCCTAATCTGCAGTGTATGGAATTACTACATTACATAATTATGGTTAAATGCAGTAACAAATGTAGCTGTCATAACTGTTTAGGTCCAGTCCTAACTAGTCCTAATATAGACTTTGATAAACAAGGATATCATGGCAAATCGACTTTTTTGAGCTTTTTTTTTGACAAAGTTACAAAGTTGTTTTTTTAAATCCATCAACGCTAATGTAAGGAATTTCTGGCACAAACATGTAGCTCCACCCCTTCTGTCTAAAATGGTCTGTCCCGGTCCTGTAACAGTGGGATGTCATTGTATCACGACAATGTCACACTCTCAACAAAAGATTATTTTCCATAAATTCGTTTTGGTCATTTTTTTTTTCTTTTTAGCTCCACATCTTCCTCTGGTGGTAGCATAGGGATAAGGCAGACTACTAGCTTTATTTACCCTTAATACTTGTATCACCATATAGTTTCTACTGAAGGTATTATTTTACATTTTAAAACATGAAAGGACAAAGTAAATAGTCTTGTGATCATTTGTAATGGTAAAATAAGCAGCGTGATATTTCTCCTTTAACAATGTTGTCATTTTTGTACCTGGAATACACTAGCCCCTGTTTAATCATGTATTTATTATTTCAATATTTAAACTGAGATTGGGTCCACTACTCTGACATGTCACTAAAGAATAAGTTTATACAGTACTCATGTAAGTGGCTATAATCTGTGGCTCTAAATTTTTATAATCTAGTCACTATTTTTACAACAAATTAGATATATTTGCTATTGCTGTTTTATTATGAGAAATATGTAGCTGTACAAGTTTGGTTGATTAAAGGCCAAAACTACAGGGCCTCAGCCTCACAAATCCAAATCTTTCTCAAACTGCTGTAGTTATTTCGAGTTATTATTACAAATCATTTAGCTGGCAATTACACAAATATGAGACAGGTTCAAAATGACCAGTTTTCTGACTTCTTGGATCAAAGCTGTATTTTGAGAAACAGAACGCAAATACTAAAATGTCTTTACTTTTGCACGCTGCTGCTGTCTGTTAAAAACCACTTACTTCTGACCTCCTCTTGCCTCATGCTTCACTTGTGTGGACTTGGTGTTATATTTGCATACATTCTTTATACGTCGATGGTAATTGTGATTAGAAATGCACTTTTCTTTTGATAAAACTGTGGGGGTCGCATCCAAAAAAACATCGAATCATTCTTATCTCACAATATTGAAATTATTATTATTATTATTCAGTATTTTCACAGCTATTTCCCCATGTACCCCCACAGTCAATCCAGTCGCATTCCTCATTTATAAGCATTTTGTAAACACACTTTATCAACTGCATTTTTTCCATAATTTCTAACTACTTTTTGCAGAGAGCCTACATGATGAAAAAGAGGAGAACAACAACATGCGCCAGCGCTTGGAACAAACACTGCTAGAACTGAGCTCTTTGTAAAGAACAAGAACAAACAAGTTGCACAAACATCTTTTTTTTTTTTTATTACAGAACATCTCTCTTTTTTTTCTTTTTTTTTGCATTTTACTGGAATATCACTACTATGCCTACTTATACAAACACACTCTAAACATTCCTTTTTTTATATTTATGGTTCTTAAATGTCCCCTTTTTGTATTCAATTGGGTTTAGGGTCAAAATCTTCTAGTTTCTGGTGTTGTTAGATTGCATTACATTTGATGCCCACGTTGATAATTGTTGCATAAGCTGTTTTGTGCGTCTGTGTGACCTGCTTACAGTTTTGTGCGAGGCATGTAAAGCCTTGTGCGAGATCATTTTCTCTTTACTTGTGCCGACTTGCTCTATGTGCTATTGCTTTGCACTTACTTTTGGACCAAACATTTCCTTTCCTGTCAAATCCCTCTTTTATACTAAATCCAGTTTGCCGCAGCAAAAATAAAGAATACTGTTTGTTGTAACTGGTTTCCTGTCATTTTTACTTTTAAATATGGTTATAAATAGGCTGATGAAATGCCATGAAAGTTGTGATTTTTCAACCAGCAGGAAACATTCTTGTCTTCATAACTGTGAGTAATGGTGGGGTGAGCACACAACACCTGCAGAACTAACAATTATCTCATCAATGACTTATGACACACAACCAAATAAACAATAAATATAATACACACAGTTCTTATCTAATCCACTTTATGTATGTTTTGGGAAACCAATGACTAACTATAGAATCTTACCTGCATATTTTCAGAGTCTGCTAAAATATTATCTGAAGCACTGTATGTCTTTGCTCTGGCCCACGTCTGTGTTCTCGTACACATTTATACAAAATCATATAAAAACCTTTGTCTCCTTTTGTTCAATTTAAAGGGGCTCAAAAATACACCATGTTACGGATGCAATCGCAGCTGCCTTGTCTTCATTTCATGACATAACCAAATGCCTGTTTTGAGAATTTGGTAAATGATTAAACCAAATTCAGGAGCAGATAAGACGTTGTTTCAAAGGAAGGAATGAAGATTATGGAGCAGTTTTTGTAATATATTTTAGATGTATAATATTGTGTACAAATGTCTACATTTTTTCCAGAAGAAGCACAAAATGCTCTTATTCATTTATATTTTAACAAATGCTACCATTGAACCAGTTCCTGTAGTTCTCAAATCTGTTTAGTTCTATGTTGTTACATGCATGTTATGTGTGTGGCCTCTGCCACATCTTTACATCATCTTTCTCAGACAAAGGTGATAAAATGAGGACCCCCCTAAATCAGCCCAAAGCATCAAATAGTGATTCACAAGGCTCTTTCTTACAGTTATGCAAAATATAACATGTTTGTCTAAATCTGCACAGCATTATTTGGTCTGATTTGTTCACAAAATTATACTTATACAAGACTCATTCAGTCGTGAGAAGCAAATATGTGGGTATCCAATCTCTTTTTAATTTTTATTTATAATAAAGGGTATCTTTTGTAAGCTTTTGCTGTTTTGGTCAAACTGTAAGCTATCATAAATGGAGTAGGGACCCAGAACTTTTTCAGCCCATACTTTTATGTTTTCACTTTTCAGTAATATGTTGTGGTATTTTTGCTGAACAAAATTAAAGTTCAGTTATTTTTGTGTGAGACGAAAACTGAATGAAAGGTATAGAAGGCTGACAGTTCAAATGTATATTTGTAATGATACAATTACTATTACCAGAGTTAATTGTTTATATTAATTTAATACGGTGGATGTTTTCCTGATAAACTTTGTGTATTACATGTCACGGGCCATATTAACCTCTTATCAACACATAAGGTTAATAGTAAAGATTTAAGATCATATTTAAAAACATATTTTAACACAGTTTGACACAAAAATATAATCTCTAATATTAAATAAGATCTTTGGTTTGATCCATAGACTGTAAGTTAGATTGACTCTGACCACACCTGCAGTTCTCTCCCAGTCCAGCAGAGCGCGCTCGTCTCTGCTCAAACATCCTCCGGGCGGGATTTCCGCAATAATATCCAGTATGGCGAAGACGTACGATTATTTGTTCAAATTACTTTTAATCGGGGACTCGGGTGTTGGGAAAACCTGCGTCCTGTTCAGGTTTTCAGAAGACGCGTTCAACTCCACTTTTATTTCAACAATAGGTGAGATTCTCGAGACTTTAACTGTGTCCGCGTCTGTCTGTTTACAAATGAAACTGGATCCGCCTGTGTGCTGCGGGGCTAATATCCGCTAGCACAGAAATACCCTTTTATATGATATTACAGTGTGATTACATACACAGACTATGAGTACAACTACGCCATGGTGTGTTAATCACCACAATACATCTACTTGATTATGTATTAATTTAGTTTTGCTATCTTCTCTGACAGCTAGCGTTAGCAGTAGCATTTAGCTTTAGCACCCTTTCCACATTCTCGTATAAAACTGAAAGTATGATATTTAAGCGGTAGATATCACTATTACAGCCGTTGCGTAGCTGTTTCATGTTTTCCTCACACATGTATTGTCTGCTGTGCGTGATCTGCTTGAGTTTTACACTGCTAACACTAGCTAACTGTGGTATTAACGGTGTAGCCACTATAATGTATAGAACCAGACTAAAGTTGTAGCTAGGTGAACTCTTTATATTCTTATGTCTCTTCCACAGGCATCGATTTCAAGATTAGGACGATAGAGCTGGACGGAAAGAAGATAAAGTTACAGATATGGTAAATAAACAATACTGTCCTTTTGCATACAGAGCATATATGGCTCTTACTCTGCAATCCAGTGTGAGTTAGAATGATGTTGCCATATTGTCATCCTGCAATAATATAATACGACAATAACTAATGGGAATCCAAAAAGAATTAAATAAAATGTGACGTATATCAAAATATTGTTACAGTATTGATGTCTATTTCTTATTTAGGGACACAGCTGGACAGGAGCGCTTCCGAACCATCACAACGGCCTATTACAGAGGAGCTATGGTGAGTGAACACTACAGCATTGTCCAAGTGCTTCAGCTCCTTACTTGATAATTGCCTTAATGATGTTTTGATTTTAGGGAATTATGCTCGTCTACGACATCACCAACGAGAAGTCTTTTGAAAATATCAAGAACTGGATCAGGAACATAGAGGAGGTATGACATTTTTTACGGACAGTGTGGGATTTTGTGTTTTGAAATAATTAATTCTTGTTTCTATTGACAGCATGCGTCGTCTGATGTTGAGAAGATGGTTCTTGGGAACAAGTGTGACATCAATGACAAGCGGCAGGTTTCCAAAGACCGAGGGGAGAAGGTAACTTGCTTTGACTAAATACGTTTTGAAAGTATCTCCAATATCTCTGATATTATTTATTTATTTATGTATTTTTTATTTTTTATCTATTCTTTCAGCTTGCATTAGAATATGGGATTAAATTCATGGAGACCAGTGCAAAGGCAAACATTAATGTGGAAAATGTGCGTAAACTTGAATTTCATAACATTATTTTTGCAGAAATGCAGATTATATGATCTTTTGTTGTTCCTCTCAGGCCTTTTTAACCCTTGCCAGAGACATCAAAACAAAAATGGACTCGAAATTGGTAAGATCCCTTTTTAAATGATCGGTGAGCGCTTAACTTGCTTTGTCTTGACTTACGTTTGTCTTGCATGTTTCAGGAGGGCAATACTCCCCAGGGCAGCAGTCACGGGGTGAAGATCTCCGAGCCTCAGAAAAAGACCAGCTTCTTCCGCTGCAGCCTCCTCTGAGGACTTAGACTTTACAGACTGTGCTTGCTTCAGCACTTCTTCCTCTGTCCTCCGTCCACGGTCTGTCCCTTTGTCCTGAATACAGGACACTTTCTGTTTCTGCCACTTTTAAACTTCCAGCAACAATTCTTCCATCTGGATTCACAGGTGCAAACTGCTCAGCTATGGACCATTTAAATTGTATGTCCTAATAGTTGATAACATTTAATTTAAGGCAATGTGTGTTTTTTCCTTTTCATATTGCACAGACATAGCACAAGTGTTGACTCCTTTAGAGAGAGGGAAAGTGCAAATAACAGTTGTGGGATTTCAATATAAATGTAATATCTATTTTATTAGTGCTCTTTCCCTTAGTATGTGATACAAGTCATGGGCAGAGACTGACGGCTTAACGTACCCACACACAGAACTCCGTAATACCATCTTTCATTATGATCTTCTGCAGCATTTATAATTGCAATAACACCTTGTACAAGTTCTTTGCCTAAAAAATAATTGTAATGCTCTGTTCGGTGCGGAGCCAAATGACGTCTCTGCTTTATTGACAAACATTCTGATCACTGTAGGCCTCTGCTCCAGGCCGCACGCAGATGTGCACTTTACCTGTATCCGTGTAGTCTGTGCCAAGTGAAACAGTGGGAGCAGTAACATCGCTTATACTTGGGAGCATTCCTGGCTATCTTATTGCACTTATTTAACAAAAAAAAGAAAAAAATGCGTTTAAAACTGAGTAATCTTTGCTGTCTTATTTATCCACTGTCCTGGTATTAGTTTTGTCCAAATGATCCACCCATTTGTGATTTAGACTGAGTAGAGCACCAGCAGCCGTTAAGAATAGTTAAAGAGCCCAGAGTAGCTGTTTGGGTTTAATCATAACACAAAGCAACATGTTGACTGATATGCAGACGTATTGTTATGCCTACTATGTGTATAATTGATCACCTAAATATATATATAAAATACATATGCATTACATTCTCCACATGACATTTCCTTTACGCTACTGTCCTGCCAAAGCATCAATGGTGTATTTGTAATCTTCAGTCGGTCCTCAACACGATTTCTGTAGAATCGGCAAACATTCGCGTGGCAAATAGAGGAGCAATAACTAGTTGCCACAGGATCAAACAAGTCAGTATTTTTTCTTAACCAGAATTTGCTGTTATCCTAATGTCTTAATCTTTCGCTTCCTGTAATTATCAAGCTCTTAAATGCACAAAAGTGGATGGGAATTCTTGTTTTGTCATCTTAAATTTGGGACCTCATCGCTACATAGCCATTTGTCTTAATACGACAGTTCAGTCTTTGAGCTATGCATCGTGATTCATGGACCTGTGTCTGTTTTAGTCGGTGATTTTAACCTGTGCAGTTTCATGTATGGGTTTTGTTTGTTTTTTTTACCTTGGGTTTTAATTCCGAGGCAAAGGCAGGACTGCATTGTGACGCAGGTTAACATTTAAAACTCGATGTAGGAATATTTTACGTGGTGTTTATAGAGTTCAATGCTGTAGCAAAGTGAGTTTGAAATATCTGGTGTACTTTAAAGCTGTATATGGCATTACAAAGCTGGCTCACTTTACTCTACGCTTGCTATAGTTTGGGGAACAAAAACATGAATTGGCTACAACGGACCCCCTTAATGTTCATAAGTTGCTGAATGTGTAGCTGTTATTGCTATAAACAAATGCCTTATTTCATTTCTAATCATGTACTGCCTAAAACATATTGAAAAATGTAACTTCTTCATACTAGCGTCATTAGGACTGTAACAAGTTTCTCGCAACTTATCGATTATTGATACAGTTTTCAACTAATTGAGTAGTAGATTAATTGCGCTTTGAACCTCACTTGGCCTTAAACAGCTGAGAAGAGGTTTTAAGAGTCGGATCATTCTAGAAGGACTGCAGGATTGTCTATGTGTAACAAGTCATCTCTGAAGATGTTCTCCAGGAGCATCACAAGCTTTGTCAAGTCATGTCAAATGTATTAAAAATCTCATCTTCCCTGAGCCTTTGGAATCCAAACAACTAAACTAAAATTATAAAATTAATTGCTACAGCTTACATTGGAATTAAAAACTAATATATATAATTGAGAGAATAAACGTATGCAGAGATGTAAGGAGTCATACGCTGTGAGGGTTTGGGCGGAGTCTCGAGTATGTAAATACTCATACTGCAGCCACATTGTCTCTTTTCAAACAGACGTTGATGGTTCAAGGCTCCAGCGTAGAAAGCGAAGGTTGCCAGCTTTGTAATGACTCTCACCAGGACTAGGAAACCATGCAGTACTGTACATTGTTCACGTAGCCTCGTGCTAAAGGCTGGGGTCTTTGTTTTCATGTGACATCTTGTGTTGCTTTTCATCAACATGGATGTTCTTCTTAATCTTTAGCCATATTCTATCTGTTAAGTACACAAGGGGAGCAACATTGTAAATTCCACAAAGACAATAAGGAATCTACCTAAAATGTACTGTACTTTGTAAACCCATATCAAAATGTATCTACTCTTTGTAGATATATGTACTTTTGGTTTAATAAAATATAAATATTTTATTTCAGCATACTGTCTTTCCTGTGGGCAACATAATCACATGGAATTCTACGGGACTTACAACATGACGTAACAGTGACCTTAAGCCTCCTGTGGTCAAAGAGCAGTGTTGGGGACAATTCTCTGCTCGGTTAAAGCGGCCGAGACGATGGGATTTAAACCTTTTTTAATTATGCTTTTTACATGCATTATTTTAAAGCTGATTCTGAAAACAAACACCAAATATTAAATTCTAAAATCTTACAACATCAAGTTGAAAGAAGTTGATATGAGATTGACAGGTGGATCGGTGCGGAGTGAGGCACTTGCTGTATCAGACTGTCGTGGTGAAGAGGGAGCTGAGCCTGTCAGGAATGAACCAGACAGAGACGGATCGTGGTGCGCCAAGCTCTTGAAGTTTCTTCGGTTTCTCTCAAGTTCCAGTGGTTTCTGTTGTTTCTTTTTTTCTCCAGACAAAATGGAGTAAGTACATGATTTATATAGTCATTGTTACGTCACACATTGAAAGACAGTATGTGTCAAATCAGAGACACTCAGAGCATATCATAGTCATAACATGGATACACAATCAGAGTGTGCGTAGTGTCTTGCGCTTGTCCTGCACGTAGGCCAAATAGCTATCTAATCCTCACAAGCCGAAAGGCAAAGCTCTTGATTTACTGGTCAATCTTTGTTCCCTCCCTCACCTATGGTCATGAGCTTTGGGTAATGACCGAAAGAACAAGATCGCGGACACAAGCGGTCGAAATGAGCTTCCTCTGCAGAGATACAATACAATACAATTACACAATACAATTTATTCTTGTATAGCCCTAGGTCACAACAGAAGTCATCTCAGAGGACTTAACAAAACCATTGAAATCACCAACACAGGTCAGAGAATCAACAGTTAAAACACATGAAGAATATAAAGCACACACAGAAAAAAATGTCCATACATGTTGTAGAATGCTAAAGTGTCCTGATCATCACCAATCCTTTCTGTTGGACACTAACTGTCCAACAAGACCCTCCTGCATCGACAAGGAAAAACTCTTAAAAAACCCAGTGGGAAAAAGTGAGAAACCTTGGAGGAGAACAAGGGAAACCCACAGGGAGGGAGACCCATATGAGAAAGGGATCCGCTCCTCCGGACGGACAGGCTAATGTTTAGGTGAGGAGATTAGGTGAGGAGCTCAGTCACACTGGAGGAGCTCGGAGTAGAGCGTTCCTGGCATGTTCCACCAGGAGGAAGAAGTGCGTGGTCTGAGCTTTCATTCCCTTAAAAAAGTTCTTTGGATTAAGGACCACCACCTGCAGGAGGATCAGTGAGGGGCTGGTGCTATGTGTACTGGGTGCTGCTCTGACTGCCACCCCTCCGACCCAGAAATGGATTAAGGGGAAGAAAATGGATGGATGGATGGATGGACATTGTAATTTCTCTTAAAAATAAAAGCTAGGTGGTATCACAATATGTCAGAAGAACCACAATTGGATTTTAGTTCTCGTGGATCCATCTTTACTTTTACTATGGCAGTTATTTGACTTTAAGCTTTCACTATAACCTTCTGCAACCTCTGTAACAGGAGCAGCTGTGTCTTTATCGCCGCGGTAACTGGACTCTTTTATACATGAATGTTGATGTTCATAACTAATGAGGCCTGACGAGCCACTGCTTCTGCTGCTGATGGACACGTAATCCAAACTACGATTCTGAAGATAAGACTGTTGTTGCTCTGTGTTTAAATGCAACTTATAAATAACTGGTGAAAGATATTAAACGCAAAACTCTTCATCCTTTCAGTTGTTCAATAATATTCCAAAAAGAACAAAGATGCATGCACATGTTTTATGGAATAGATGTTTTTAATATAGAAATATTTGACAATTGACTCAAAAATATTTGTTTTCATTTTTGCATATTTTTTTGAGCTTGCTGAAAATGATTTTTATATCCTGATGTGGAATGTGCTGTGGGCAGAAAAAAAAACAAATGTTAATGCTAGAACAGAGAACCTCAGTTACGCAGACATAGGAGCAATCTAAAATAACACATGAGTGGTGATGGTTCATAAAAACAGGTGAAAATCAGAAAATTGGAATATCGTTCAGAGGTCCAATTACTTCTGGAATTCAACTTGCAATGTGAAACTAACGCATGACTGACAGTCATTACAGGCAAAACTGTATCAGGTCTTTAATTTCTCTCACAGCTTTGTAGAAGTGTACAGACCCTATTCCATGAAAGAGATACACATGATAGGTACAGACTGATAGAAAGAAAAACTATGTACTAAAACTAAAATCTGAAAGGAAGGACTGGAGAAGTACATGAAGGAGTGAGAGATGCCCACAGCACGGAGCAAGTGATGGGACCTAGGTGTTGTGTGTGTTTGGGCTGGTGTAGCGTGTGTGTTTTTGTGTTTGTGTGTCTCAACCATTGGTAGGAATTGGATATTGTGTTGCACAGTATTATAGTTGTATTCTCTGTTGATTTATTTACTGTGTGTATTATTGTGTGTTGAATGGGTGAAAGGGGTCAGGATAAAAGTGTCTTATTCATCCAACCCCTTTTCAAACCTGTATTAGCCTGAAGATGAAGAAAGATGTGTTCTGCAGGTTTGATAAAAATCTGAATCCTTTTATTCCCATGTGAGTAACAGGGAAGTCACAAACGAGGAAATTTCTTTGGCTCTTGGTGCAAACAAGTTAAAGCAGAATAAAATCAGGAAGGCATAAATACAAATCTACATACATTTCTTCAGTTTACGACATACTGTACAAGTGCACTAGGTGCACACAATAGATTAAGAGTGCAGTAGAGTGCAGTAAAGTGACGGTCATGAGGGCAGAGGTCAGTGATAGTTTATGAAGTGTTCATGAGTCCAACAACAGAGAGGAAGAAACTGTTCTTATGGCGGGAAATAAATCTAAACTAAAAACCCCAAATAAAAATAGAAAATTTGACTGTAAGCCATAATTATCAACATTGGACAGACCTTCTCATTCAAATAATTTTTATTTTAAGGATTATGACAATTTTAGATTCACACTGAAGGCTTCAAGACTATGAATTAACTCTTGGAATTTAGTACGTACTCAAAAAAGAAGAATAAACTGAAAATATGTCTTATATTCTAGAATCTTCCAAGTAGCAGCTTTTGCTCTGATTATTGCTTCACACACTCTTGGCATTCTCTTGATGAGCTTCAAGAGGTAGTGACCTGAAGTGGTCTTCCAACAGTCTTGAAGGAGTTCCCAGAGATGCTTAGCACTTGTTGGCCCTTTCGCCTTCACTCTGTGGTCCAGCTCACCCCAAAACCATCTGGATTGGGTTCAGGTCCGGTGACTGTGGAGACCAGGTCATCTGGCCCAGCACCATCACTCTCCTTATTGGTCAAATAGCCCTTACACAGCCTGGTGTGAATCTACAGTCAATAGTCATGAAAAGAAAGGAAACTCATTGAATGAGAAAGTGTGTCTAAACTTTTGGTCTTTATTGTATATCACTTTGTGTGTATTGAGTCTGTCATATACTGGTTTCACATTTCAAGTTGAATTTCGGAAATATTTAAACTTTTGAATAATATTCTAACATATGAGTTTCACATGCAAGTACGGCCATTGTTGGGAGTATGTAAATACTGTATTGTATGGCCTTTTGCTCTAACGGAAAAATGTGAGGCATCAAAAAACTGATACAACAGCTTTATCAACCTTACACAAAAGCATAATAAAGTTACATTTAGTATGAGTGGTCATTAGTTTATTTGATGAATCAGTTTCTGGATCTGTAGTTCGACCAATGTCCTGCTTGATTGTTGATAGATGTTAAAAAGCAAAACAAAGACAGCCGATGCAAAGCTCTACAGTGTGGTTCTCGTACAGACTGTGGTTGTACCTGAGGAACTCTGGCGCCCGGAGGATCATGTGCTGGAAGTCGTCCAGGGACAGGCGCCCGTCGTTGTCCAGATCGGCCTCGTCCAGAACCTTCTCACAGACCATCCGCACCTCATCCTCCGACAGCTCGTTACGGGTCAGCTTATTCAGCGTCTTCTCCAGGTCCGACTTACAGATGAAGTCATCGTTGTTAAAATCTGACAAACACATAATAACACACTCACACTGTGAAGGAGTTCTGGGAACGCACAAAGAGTAACACAAGTACAAGTTGTGAGTGCAGAAAGTAAGTCAAAGATAAATATTGGTATACAAATGTACTCTGGTCAAAGTAAAATTGTTGAATCCATTCCATATAAAAGTTAAAACGTACAAGCATTTAAGCAAGCAAATTAATTTATTTTGTTTAGCATTTGAAAGACATTTATATTGATTGAGTTTTACTTCTGTCTATCCTGTTGATTGTGTCTCTGTGTGTGTATGTCTCTGTGTGTGTATTCAGACCCTGTGCTTCTGTCCCCTTGTCATCTGTCCATTGTTTTGTCCCTGGTTTAAATTTTTACTTTTATACTCCTTTTATACAGTTATATTATTTTGCGCATCTGCTGTTGGGTCCTTCCTTATTTTAACATAACAAAATTGTCTTTTTTCATCACAATCACTTCAACAACATAGACATCTTCTACTAATAGTAGAAGCAAAAAGTATGATATTTTGCTAAAAAGACTAAATCAATGATGTCACACATGTCTAAAAGTGGAGCAGCCACGTGTTCCCCATGACCTCCAGATTGCCCTGTGATAATGAGTCTCTTCTGAGGGTTTTGACCTGTCAGCAGCAGTTAATTAGAGCTGCAGTGGACCAAACAAACTGTCCTTTTCATTGTGCTGGACCACATAAAGACCTCTTGAATCATTGATGCCAAAGCATGTATAGGCTGTCGTGGTTAAGGCTCCACGTCCCTTATGTTGCTCTTACACAGAGGTCAGTGCTCTGGGTCACGCATCTCGCCTTAGTTAAAAGGTGCAAAAGGTGCGAGGAGATTCTAGAGCAGGGTGTCCAAATTTTTAATAGGAGGGCCACTTTAGTTCACCAGACCTGTCCAGGGGCTGGCAACATTCTACAACTGCTTTTCAGGCTTTGGGCTTTAGGTATGATATGCTCACTTGTTGGCACTGTGTCTACACTGGTGCCATTTTGGAACACAATTGAAAACAAATGACAGTATATATAATAAAATGGCTTTACAATGAGGTACAGCATGACTATATTGGTGGAGCTGAAGTTGGTTGGATGACAACTATCTATTGTGGAAGTGCCTCAATAGATAGTTTGTGTTAGCAAGGCAGAGAGACACATAAAACGAAGCAGTGGGCCGCATTTGGCCCACTTGGTTTGAACATGCCAGTTCCAGAGGTTTGCCTGAAATATTCCATTCAAATGATTTGATGTGAGGACAGGAAAAAACACAGAGATGTTCAAACGAATATATACATTTGTTTTACATTACACCAAATAACTGAAGCGACAAAAAAAAAGGAAGTGGTTTAGTGGTTTCCCCTGGGCCTTCTCTCAGTAGAGAATAGATTCTCCACCTCAACTGGAATTCCCAAAGAGACAAAGAGAAGCAGAGGCTCTACTGTGAGCACCTCCCATGGGATTGAGCTCCATCATCAAACCAGGATTTCCAAAATGCACTGGGACGGTCAACTCACAAGCTTTGAGAAATGACCGAATGGAAGAGAGGGCAGATAAAAGCAGTCGGTCAGTGGCGAGTCTCTCCCTTTGACACATCTCTCATGAGCATATGAGCCGCTTCACCCATCCGTCTGCAGGAGCGGATCCCTGTCATCCCAAGGTCCCTCACTTTTTCCCAGTAGGTTTTCAAGTCGTTCTTTGCCGATGCAGGAGGGTTTAAGGACAGTGGTGATGGTCCTGGACATATAAGGACATGAACATTGGTCATCCGCCCTGTATGGACTAATGGCTCTTTTGTTATTATGGCATTTCCAGTGTGGGAGCTTGTCTCTGATCCGTGTTGTGAATCGACAAATACCGCTGTGTTCTACCGAATTGAATTGACTTACATTTCTACTTGGCTGCAAACATGGATCTAGACTGCAAACCGTCCCAGTGCATGTTGGAGATCCTGGTTTGATGAAACAATAAGATAACATCACACACTAACAGGTGGGGAGATATTCTGTGCGGTCCCAAACAGGTCTTCCTCCAGCCACACAGAAAATAGCGAATAGAACCGGTGACAAAGGGCAGCGTTGTACATCCCTGGTCTCTATATGCTCCCCTCCATGTACTGCATATTCATACCGTATATTTTAAACGCATAGTAGGCCTTGATGTCCCGCGGAGCCATCTCACTCAGGACAGAGAACATATCCAAGAAGTCGTTCAGGCTCATGTTTCCTTCACCGTCCTCAGAGAAGACCTCAGCGATTCTCTGGCGAAACGGATTGTCCTGGAAACATGAAACAAATATTTTGACCAGATTGTATGTTTTTTTGTCATTTATTATCATGTCACGTGAATGCGGAAAGATTTACATTCACAACACTCAGAGCACCCAAGGAAAATGTAGCTATTTATGATATGTTACTTCTTATAATTTATTTCCCAGATCCCCAGAGAGCACTGTAGTTTACTTTTGTGCAGAGCTCCTTCATATTGATCTTTGATAATGACAAAAACTTTAATATTGTGTCTTATCCAAGATGTTGAAATAAATATCATTGATTAAAATACCATAATAATGTATATTTGTTCTTTCACTTCACAATTGTTTGGTACTTTTTTGTGGTCTTTCAGTAAAGAAAACCCTAAATATATGTTTGAGTTTTGTTACCATTGACGGTATGGTGGCCCCATTGTGGAAGAGGCTAATTTGAACATAAGCTAGCTGCAGCAGGGGCAGATGTGTTGCTTGTTACTAAGACAAGCTGGAGTTTCCCCCGTGAATGAAGGCATGTGATTGGTCCATCCATTTATGACTTATATCTGGATTTACAAAGACATTATCAAACTATAAACACCAGGTTTATAGAGAGCACTAAACTACAGATGTTTAAGCCCAAAATGGTGAGTTTGACACAAATGGTTTATTTTTCAATATAAGTCAGTAGGTGTTAGTTGGAGCAAAACTTTGTCCACGAGCACTTCCCTATTGGGATTCATTGAGCGAGGGCAGGCATGTCAAACTCAGGCCAAATGATGTTCAATTATCTTTATAACAGTAACTTGCAACGTTGATGTGATGGGCTTCTATGAAATGTTATACTTCATTTTTTTTTTTGAACTTTAAGTTTATTTAAATCAGGTGTGAATGTAGACATGTTTAAATACAACTTTGACAGAGGGTTTTACAATCATATTTTCAAATAATGTGTCACTGGGGTCCATCTTTGTGAAAACAAGTCCATTTTCAATTGAAGTTTTGCGGTCAGCTGTTCCATTATGTAAACTTGCTTAAGTCTCTGTGTCCATTCCTTCGTTGTTGGAGGAGAAGGTTTCCTCCAATTGACAGTAATCATCTTCCGTGCGATCAGCAAGAGGATGCGGAGTATGTACCGGTGGTCTTTATCATGAATATTTGCAGGTGGAATTCCAAGAATAATAATCATTGGGTCCATTGGGATTTTGACATTCAAGATATTTTCTATCTCCAGTTGAATATCCTGCCAATATTTAACAAGTACCGGGCAGTCCCAGAATATATGTGTGTGATCAGCCACTTTGCCACAGTTTCTCCAGCATAACGGGGATATGTTTTTGTAAAATTTTGAAATTATCAGAGGGGTTCTGAAATACCTAATTTTATTTTTCCAGTCAAATTCTTTCCACAAATTGCTATTGATGCCTTTATGGCTGATCCCACACATATCCTTCCATGCTCCATCATCAATAGTAACATTCAATTCCAGCTCCCACTTATCTCGAACATCAAATGTGTTATCTCCCAGGTTTCCCATCAGCTTTTTGTACATGAGGGACACATGATTCTTGGTCGGCAGTTGTTTTTCTCTTACCGTAATGAAGTATTGCTCTATACCTGTGGGATTTGCTTTTACTTTGTCCCAGTCGGCATGATTTTGGATATAGTGTCTTATCTGCAGATATCGAAAATGATCTTTTGGAGGTAAGAAAAACTGGTTTTGTAGTTGAGAGAAAGACTTTAAGTGACTACCTTCAAATAATTGATTAATTGTACGCAGACCACTGCTTTCCCATCTTTTAAAGCCACTATCCCACAATGACGGCTGGAATTCAATATTACCACCCATAGACATGGCCCGTGATAGGTTAATTGCACCTCCTAGTTTATTCCTTACTGAGTTCCATATTCGTAGCGTATGTTTCACCCATACATTATTCAGTTTGAGTTTCTTCCAGAGTTTTTCATTCAGGAACGGTAGGACTGATAGGCGTACACCTGGTATTGCATTCTGTTCTATTTGGATCCAACCCGCCTCCTGGTCATTATTTATCCATTGTGTTATAGCAAGTAGTTGAGCAGCCCAATAATAGTATTTAATGTTTGGGAGAGAGACTCCACCCAGGTCCTTTGGTGAGCATAAGACTTTCAATCTAATTCTCGGCCTCTTATTTTGCCACACAAATTTGGAGAGCATTTTGTCTAGCTGGGTAAATGTGGACATAGGAACCCATACCGGTAACGATTGAAATACGTATAGGAGCCTCGGTAGAATGTTCATCTTGACCGTCTCTACTCTTCTAAATAGAGACAGGGGTAGAACCTCCCACCTCAGCAGGTCTGCCTTTATTTGTGTTATTAATTTATTATAATTAGATTTAAAAAGTTGCATTGGATTTGGTGTTAGAGTAATCCCCAGATACCTAAATCCTTGATGGCATTGTCTAAATGATGTTATTGTATTTAGTTGGGTAGGCCATGTTCCAGATAACATCATTGCTTCGGACTTATTCTCATTGATCTTGAATCCTGAAATGTAGCCATAATCATGTAAGCATCGAAGAAGTGTTGGAATAGAGGAATTTGGATTCTTCACGTATAGCAACACATCATCGGCAAATAATGCAATTTTATGCTCTGCTCCGCTCTCGTCTCTTATGCCCTGTATGTTTTGATTCTGTCTCACTGATTCGGCAAGTGGCTCAATACTCAAGGCGAACAGGACTGGACTGAGCCCATCGCCCTGTCTTGTTCCTCTACCCAGGCTAAAAAAATCAGAGCAGTGTCCATTAGCCCTGACTCTTGATCTTGGATTTTTATAAAACATCATTATCCAGCCAACAAATTTGTCGCCAAAACCCATATTTAGTAATACATGCTGTAAATATTGCCAGTCCACTCGATCAAATGCCTTCTCAGCATCTAAGCTGAGGAGCATTGATGATTCTTTTCTTGAGGCGGCAAGTGATTGCAGGTTTAGGGTTTTTCTGATATTATTTGAACCGTGACGGCCATTAATAAAGCCCGTTTGATCCGGCTTTACCAGTTTCTTAATATATTTTTGTATGCGTTTGGCAAGGATACTTGTTAAGATCTTAAGGTCGACACACAGAAGACTAATAGGTCTGTATCCAGTACACAGCGTGGGATCTTTTCCCTCTTTCTTGATCACCGTTATTATAGCTTCTGACCAGGAGGCAGGTGGGTCTTTGTTGTTCAGAGCATCATTATATATTCTTGTCAAAACTGGAGACAGTTCATTTATAAACGTCTTGTAATATTCCCCAGGGAATCCGTCGATTCCCGGTGACTTGTTATTTTTCAAGTTACTAATAGTCTCTCTGACCTCAGCTATTGTTATAGGCTTTACCAAGTCCGCAGTCTCATCATTAGTTAATTTAACCATGTTAAGTGGCTCCAAGAATCTTGTAATCTTTTCCGTTTTATCAATTTGATTTTGGCCTTCATATAGCGAAGTGTAGTAAGCTGCAAATGCTCCTGTTATGTCTTTAGGTTGTGTTACTATGTCATTAGTTATTGGATGTTTAATTTTTGTCACAATTCGGCCTGATTGAGCTTTTTGTAGTTGGAAGGCAAGTAGTCTGCTTGCTTTGTTACCCATTTCATAATATTTTCTATTTACAAACCTAAGTGCCCCTTCTGCCTTGTAGGTGAGTAATTCGTCCAATTTTTGTTTAGTTTCTTTTAGTATGGGGAGTATTTTTTTGTCTTGTGTTTTCTTATGTTCATTTTGTAACTTTCTAATATTGGCTTCTAATTTCCCCTGTTCATTTAGTCTTTGTCTCTTTATCCTAGAGGATACAGCTATTATCTTCCCTCGCATTACAGCTTTGCATCCTTCCCATAGAACAGAGGGGGAAATATTATCAATATCATTGAAATTTAAGTATTCAGCCAATTCATTTTTTAACTCTTGGCACACATTATGATCAGTTAGAAGAGAAACATTAAGCCTCCAATACCTAAAGCGCTGCTCTACACCCAGGCGGATACTCAACGTAGTTGGCGCGTGATCGGAAATTGTTATGGGTTCGATTTTGCTCTCTATAGCTCTATATGACTCTTTTTTTGATATAGCAAAGAAGTCTATTCTCGAATAGGACCCATGTACATGAGACATGAACGTGAAATCCCGTTCTCTTGGATGAAGAGAGCGCCAAATATCCACCAGACCCAATTCTTCCAACATACCTTGCAATGCCACCATCTTTTTAGGTTTTGGCCCAACATCTTTAGGTAGCCGATCCATTGTCCTATTTAGTGTACAGTTAAAATCGCCCCCTACAATAATTATTCCTCTTCCTTTATCGGCCAAGATAGAAGCGATTTTCTGAAAAAACTGTGGGCAGTCTTCGTTAGGGGCATACAGATTCAGTACTGTCACTTTTACATCATCAATCTTGCCCACTACCATGACATAGCGACCCTCATCATCTCGTATTAGTTTTTCATTATGAAAATTTACTGATCTATGAAAGAGAATGGCAACTCCTCTTCTTTTACCACTTTTACACGATGCACTGTATACCTGATCTACCCATTCGCGCTTTAATTTCAAGTGTTCTTTGTCCGTCAGGTGCGTTTCTTGGATAAGTGCAATAGAGCAACACAATTGTTTTAGCTGACTATACAGTTTTTTCCTCTTGATGGGATTATTGATACCTTTTCTATTATAGCTGACCAAGTTAACCAAAGACATATTTGACTAATAAACGTTTCAGCAGAAAATGGTTATCTTTACAATTTTTTGCAGTGACAAAAATACATGTTTTATGATTGTTTAAACCCAGAACATCTGTCAAAAAACAAGGAACACAGAACCTTGGCAGAACTGATGCCATAACATATTCAACTTCCAAGTAGCCAGCTGGTCTTAAAGTGATCAGCTCCCGTTGGTATAAGGGCAGAGATAGGTGACGAGCCATCTCTGGGATTAATGTAAGGCAAAATGCCAGTGCAGTCACCTTTGTGTGGAGACTGCTTTGTGAGTGCATTACACTCAGGGGTCACTCCTAATCGTCCAAATTGAGACTATGTAGTAAAATTATACAGCGTTTTTTTTTTTTTTTTGAATACAGTATATAAACTTTTCACAATTCTTACTAGAAATAAAATAAATAAATAAATCCTCAGCATCTTATTATTATAAACTTAGTGCAACATTTCTTTGTAAGGCAATACTTTTCTTTATAAGGCAATACTTCTCTTTATAAGACAATACTCTACTGCATTTCGTTAAAGAAGATATTGTAGTCCGCAGCTGCAAGCGTCGCCTCTCCTCTGCGCGTATCTTGTCCTGCCAACAGCCATCTGTCCTCCCTCGCCGCACTCTCCAGCCGCTCTCGCTCCTCCGTCCGCACAGCAATGCCCATCTCCTGTAGGTGAGTGGCGGCCTCCATCAGTGTCGTGTAGGTTTTCTCTCCCGTCTCCAGATGAATCTTTAGTTGAGCTGGGTATAGACATTTCGCACTGATACCTTTCATTTTAAGTTGCTTGATTACGTTCCGGACTCGCCCTCTCTTTCTCTGCAGATCAGGGGAGTAGTCATGATCGAAATAAATCAGTTTTCCCTCAAGGAAGGTTTTCTTTTGGCCCCATGCAAGTCGAAGCACATGTTCTTTAACTGTGAAGTCTAGAAATCTTACAATTATGGACCTTGGGGGGGCTTCGGTATCTCGGGGTTTGGGCACAAGCGCCCGATGGGCTCTTTCTATCTTCAGCTCCATGTCCGGTTTGTTTAGGACTTGGCGAATGAGATCTTGTATGAAGCTCATCATGTCTCGTTTTTCGCTGCCCTCTGGGACCTGGTAAATTCTAAGATTGTTGCGTCTTAGCCGGTTTTGCAGGTCCTCACAGCGCGATGTGAGATCAAGTTCCCGGTGGAGCAGGTACCTTAATGTTCGTTCATGCCGCATTCCCCGGTCCTCATTTTCGCCGATTCTCTTTTCCGCCTCATTTAGTCTGTCTTCGTGCTTCAAGATTTTCGTGTTGAGCTCTTGTACTGAGAATTCAAGTCGATCGAGCGAGGCTTTGGTCCGTGTGTGGCCCTCCTGGTTTTCAGCTCTCACTTTCTTCAACTCTGCCATTAGCGCTGCGATGCTATCTTGTTGCACACCTGTAGCCGCATTGCTAGCTTTAGCGTGGTTAGCCAGGCTTTCCTCCGTTTCGTTCTTCGCATTGTCGCGTCTGGTTGTAGTTTTGCTTACTTTATTGGTTCCACTCATGTTGTCCACTGTCCTGGTGTAAAAATGCCGAGATTGAGTAACGCTGTATACTCAAACTTAAAACTTTTGGACGAGAGCTCCCTCTTCAAGCTGCAGCTGCAGGCATGACGTCAGCGGAAGTCGTTATACTTCATTTTAAAGCCTATTATCTCAAAGAAACAAGTTAACGTCATGTAATTATTTGTTTTTATATTTAACCATCAGTCTTAAAATTCATCTCTTCGTGATATTTGACCCAGTTGTGGTTGAATTCGAACATACCAGATTTCCAAACTCATAATTTCCAAACTCATGTTGAAAACAGCTCATTTGTCAAAGGGCAAAAATATGAAAAAAGGAAAAAAAAGAAAAGTTTATTAAAGTTAATCACTTTTCTACTTCTGGCTCTAATGTTTTTAAACTTGTCCTCTGACCAAAGTGAGCTGGACAAAGTGAGTTTGCCCTGAGCGAGGGGGTTTGCATCGTCCATCTTTATACAGGCTATGGTCGTAACTTGGAAAAATGTGCAAGCGTTCAAGCTGACCAGATACTTTGGCAAGGCACAGTAGATAAGGTCGACATTTAATTTGCATTTTTTCGATTCCTTTCTTTCAAGCTTTGACTTTGTACTTATCAGAATTGTGACTTTATGTGATCGAACCCTGCGTGACCCGTCCACTCATCACTGTCACTGTTAAAGAGGCATATAATGAAGGCGTTTCCAGACCGCGCACCCCTGGGACCCTCCAGCGTTCTTTAGATTTCAGAGCCTCAGGTAACATATACAGTAGACAATCCTGCCGATTAGTGGGGGCTTAATAATGCATGAGGGAGACACAGGGGAGCGGGCCGGGACAGTGGGCTTACCTTCAGCTCAGGCATGCTGCCAATCAGTTGGTATGGCAGCCGCACATCTGGGTTATTGGTGTAGTCGAGGGGAACGAGCTGCGGAGCCAGGTCACGGTACCGAAAAAAGAGTCTGCGAGAAACAAAGAGGCCAAACATGCTCGTTTATGGATATTTTAGAACACTTTTCAAGCAACTGTGGTTAAAGATTAACTCATAACTCGCGTAAACCAGTGAATTTCCACTTGGCGTTTTAGCTATCTGAAGGCCGAAGCTACTGGCACCGTGGCAGCTGCTGATTGGACTGTCTATAATTCCTTCATGGTATAGTATCACAATACAAGAAAGAAAAATGTCTTCTTTCTGTAGATGTTAGTTTTTTAGTCATTGCCCGCATCGTCCGCCAATTCTGTAGATAGTGAGACAAGGTGCAGATCGGTCTGGGATTGTGTCTGAGACCGACTGTCACGGTGCCAGTAGCTTTGGCCTTCAGATAACCAAAACATTATGTGGAAATTTACTGGCCTATGCATGGACTGGCCTAATGATGAGATCAGCCATAACCACAGTTGCTTGAAAAGTGTTATGAAATATCCATCCATTATACAATACAACACAATACAATACAATTTATTCTTGTATAGCCCTAGGTCACAACAGAAGTCATCTCAGAGGACTTAACAAAACCATTGGAATCACCAACACAGGTCAGAGAATCAACAGTTAAAACACAAGAAAAATATGAAGCACACACAGAAGAAAATGTCCATACATGTTGTAGAATGCTAAAGTGTCCTGATCATCACCAATCCTTTCTGTTGGACACTAACTGTCCAACAAGACCCTCCTGCATCGACAAGGAAAAACTCTTAAAAAAACCCAGTGGGAAAAAGTGAGAAACCTTGGGGAGAACTAGGGAAACCCACAGGGAGGGAGACCCATTTGAGAAAGGGATCCGCTCATCCGGACGGACAGGCTAATGATCTAGGACCTAAGCTAGCTACAGGACGTGGACCAGTGGCCGCTGAACGTGGACAGGTCCGGTGCAGGACTGAAGCACTCCCAGGCGGGTCGGGCGGGGCAGTCCGCAGGTGTAGATGGAGGAGGCCAGGCTCGGAGATCCCGTCATCGTACCATGAAACAAGACAATGGGACAACGGGTGAATAGCAATGAACAAACTACAGTCAGAATCCTAAAAATGCTAAACAGATAAAGTAGGAAGGAGGAGAGGATAGTGCTCAAGTTACCATACTTCTCCCAGCAAACTGACTCCCTATGCAGCTTGACTGACAGTCTGAGGAGTTTAGCCTTCCCTGAGTCTTACCTTCCTAGCCATATGCTAAACTAAAGAGGACTGTTTTAAACCCAGCCTTGAATAAAGAGAGCGTATCTGAAAGGAAGTGAGACAGCAGCAGCAGCCACGGCTAGGCTAGTCTAGGTTACAGCACCAAGATTCATGGATTGCACACCAGGTGTACAAACCGATCCAGGCAAACCTAATTATATATTCTATATCATATACATCATATATACCATACATACCATATATATCATACATAATACACAACATAACATACAGCATAATATATAACATAATATACAACATAATACATATATTGTATAATATATAACATAATATATAACATAATACAGCATATATATTATATATTACCTAATTATAGGCTGAATTAAAGTAGAGTGCTTTAAGCCTGGCCTTGAATGTGGAGACCGTATCTGCTTCCTTAACATAAATGGGAAGCTGATTCCACAGTAAAGAAGCTTGGTAGCTAAATGCTCTGCCACCAACAGTGATTTTTGAGACCTTAGGAACCACCAGACTTCTGGCGTTTTGTGAGCGCAACGCTCGACTTGGTTGATACGACACTAACGTGTCTTGGAGATAAGAAGGAGCCAAGCCATTTATGGCTTTATATGTTAAGAGTAGGATTTTAAACTTTATTCTGTACTCCACAGGGAGCCAGTGGAGTGATTTTAACACCGGAGTTATGTGCTCCCTCCTTTTGGTACCTGTTAAGATCCTAGCTGCTGTATTCTGAACGAGCTGGAAGCTCTTCAAAGAGGCTTTAGGGCACGCTGCCAATAAAGCGTTACAGTAGTCAAGTCTTGAGGTGACAAAAGCGTGAATACGTTTTTCCGCTTCACTTTTAGGAAGGAAATTCCTGATTTTAGCGATGTTCCGTAAGTGGAAGTACGCCGTTTTAGTTGCTTGGCTTGTATAAGCCTTGAAGGAGAGTTCTTGGTCAAAAATGACTCCAAGATTCCTCACAGTGTTACTGGGTATTATACTGACATTATCGAGAGTAATTATCTGGTTAGTGAGGGAGTCACGCAGGCGCTTCGGACCGAGTAGGATCACTTCTGTCTTCTCCGGGTTGAGAAGTAGGAAGTTAAGAGTCATCCACGTTTTAAGGTCCTTTATGCAGGCACTAAGCTTTTCTAGCTGATCTGTCTGATTTGGTTTCATCGACAGATAAAGCTGTGTGTCATCTGCATAGCAGTGGAAATTAATTCCATGCTTTTTTTTTTTATATATATAATTGTATTTCTTGTACACAAACCAAAAGTGAACAAACAGGTAACCCCCCCACCCAAACCCCGCTAGCCTAGCTTAGCTTAGCCTAGCCTAGCCGCTAACTCGCTACCCCTATGGCTGCCGCTGTTTCTCCCTCGGTCCTTTACTGCTCGAGTTGCCATATGACGAGTTTAAACCCCGGATCCTCCTCTGAGGATAGTGATAGATGTGTTAAGTGTAGTATAGTAGCAGCTTTGGAATCCAGGGTTAGTGAGTGAGCTGAGTCTCAAGCTAGCGCTAGCATTAGCTATAGCCTAGCAGTATCCTCGGACATGCAGCCCTCCTCCTCTGCACACTGCTACACAGGCTGCTGTTGCTAAAGGTCCATTCAGATTGTACAGAGCAGTCAGCACCATTGACTTCACAGTGTCTGAGTCATTCTTTAAAGACATAAGCATTTTCAAAAACTACTCGTGCTGTGCTGAATTCTCTATTAAACACTTGCTCTGATATTATAATAAATCCATGCACCGCACCAGTACTAGTTACTCGTCACACGTAAATGACGTGGTTTGACAACGCTGAGGACATACTAGGGGGTACTATTTTTGATGGAAAAGCACGCGAACTGGGCCATGGCGCGCCGTGTAGGAAGTCACGTATGCCGCTTCAGCCTGTCCACTACCAACAGCAGGAGTAACCTCCTCCAGTTTGTCACGAATGGATGTAATTTTATTATTAAAGAAATGGAGAAAGTCGACACTGCTCAGTGAGCTTGGAATTTTAGGCTCGATTGCGCTATGGCAGTTTGTGAGTTTAGCGACGGTGCTAAGCAAAATTCTACTGTTATTTTTATTCGCTTCTATTAAAGTTGTGTGAGATTTCATAACACTTTGAAGCAACTTTTGTTAAAGTTAAACAAATCATTCTATCAATGTGCAGAAGCCAGTACTTTTCCCTTGTTTTGTCTATCTGAAGGCCAAGCTACAAGCACACCGTGGAAGCTGCTGATTGGAGGTCTCCATGCCTCCGCTCTGTATAATACACTTGCATTCTGTTGTTTCTGTGATCGTGTTCGTGCTGTCTCTACCATCGACAATAAAACATGTCTTCTGTCTGAATTTAAGACGCGATCCCAGACTTTGTCATCTTCTTCAGGTGGTGGAGAATGCGGGCCTTGTCTGTAACATCTAGAGAACAGAGACTACTTTTTTTTACACAAAAAGTGTTTTTTTAAAGCCAAAACTGAAAAACCTCAAGAGAATGCATCTGGATCAGCACATATGGACAATCTGCACAGCCTCTGATTCCACTCAGGCTGTGAGCTGCTGAGACATGGACAACACCAGCATCCTCTTTTGCATGGACACCATTTGGAACAATCTGGATTTCTGAATTTGGACATAATTTGGACTGAATTGAATTGCTAAATCTGGACACTGAAGCTGAAACGTGTGATTGAAAGACACGTCACAGAAGAATTCATGGCTCGACACAAATGCAGCCTGAAGAATCAAAACGGAGAAGTGGGAGAGACTGTTTTCAAAGCAATATCTGGAACCACCATCATCTGATGAAGTTTGGTATTTTACTGAAGATTGTTGACAAGTTTTATGAAAGATCTGAACATGTTTTATGAGTTTTTGAAGTATTCCGAGTTCTGAGTTTTTTGAAGTACCGAGTGAAGTACCGAGTTTATGAGTTTTTGAAGTATTGAGTTATGATGTTATGTTGCTGTTTATCGATCCTGATGGTCACACGTGAATGTATGACCAGAGGGGGGAATGTGAGATTTCATAACACTTTGAAGCAACTTTTGTTAAAGTTAAACTCATCATTTTATCAATGTGCAGAAGCCAGTACTTTTCCCTTGTTTTGTCTATCTGAAGGCCAAGCTACAAGCACACCGTGAAAGCTGCTGATTGGAGGTCTCCATGCCTCCGCTCTGTATAATACACTTGCATTCTGTTGTTTCTGTGATCGTGTTCGTGCTGTCTCTACCATCGACAATAAAACATGTCTTCTGTCTGAATTTAAGACGCGATCCCAGACTTGGTACATCTTCTTCAGTTGAATAGTATTGAGTTCGAGCCCTGCGAAGGGCATTCTTGTAGTTTCGGAGACCAGCTTTCCACTCCCTGTGGACAGGCTCCGAGTGGGAGTGGCAATATAGCCTCTCTAATTTTCTGACGTCCTGTTTTAAAGTGTGGAGTTGAACACTGTACCAGGGCGACGATGATCTAATCCTAATAGTTTTCTGTTTTAAAGGAGCTGCTGCATTTAATGCAGATTTTAAAGACTCCATAGTGTTGTCCACCGTTTGGTCAATGACTGAGGGACTGCAGCAGCTGTGAACAGGTTCACCTGCAGCAGTATTCAACATAGGCTGTATTAGTTCTTTGAACCTTGTGATAGATTTATCATTTAAGGTTCTTTTCATTATGGTTTTATCTTGAGGCGCAGGAAAGTCCTCCAAATCAAGATCAAACGTGATCAAGAAATGGTCAAACAGCAATGTCAACATTGAAGACATCACAGCCGTAGGTCAGGACAAGGTCCAAGGTGTGGTTATGAATGTGAGTAGGTTCCTCAACATTCTGAGTAAAACCAACACCATCTAGTACG